AGCTTTACTTTCTTCCTGACTGAGTTTTTAACTCTTCTTTTTCCTTCATTGCCACTACTTTCACTAGATGAAGTTACTTCTTCACTACTTTCACTTTGTTCTACTCTTCTCTTCTTTGGTGTCGCTTTTGGTAACTTGCCCTCTGCTTCAAGTTGTTGCATCTTTGCCTCATGTTCACCTAGTATGTTGTAAATTTCCCATGTCCTTTTTGCCTTTGGGCTCTGGTCGCCCATCTCAGGTAACCTATATCCTAGAAAGATTTTGTCATAGTTTGTATTTGAGTCGTCGCTTATTGTTTGCATGACTCTTTCCTGAGTTTCCGGTTCAAGCTCTTCAAATATAGCTTGTCCATATGGAATATGCTCGTTTCCAAATATATGTTTTTGTAGCCAGTCTGGTTTTCTTTCCATGTTACCAACAATATCTTTTGTGAATGGGAAAGCTTTTACCCAATGTTTCAGTCTTGCGTCATTTATTTCTGTAGTTGGTTTTATTTTGTCAAGGAACATGTTTTTCAATACTAACATTTCATTTGGTACTGTCCATTTGAGTTTTCTTAAATATTCATCCCTTCTCGGTTCATTGTCTGCAAAGTAAGTTTTTATGACATTTTGTAAACTTTCGTTTGCAAGGTCATGTACAATAGGTTCTCTTCCTTCTCTCTCCCTAACTTTCTTTCTAAACTCTTCACCAAATATACCATCTCTATGGTTCTGTGTAGTTCTTTGAGATAAATGTTTTAGAACGTCAGGTGTTATATTTCCATCAGCCATGTTCATTTCATACTGGTTCAAAATATCTGCATCTTTCATATCTTTCAATGGCATTAAAGCCGCGCTGAAAATACCAGCTATATCTGGTTCACCATTCACTTCCATTGCGTCTACAACTTCTTGGAATTGTGGTTGTAAGTTTATGAACCACCTATCCGGATTAGCTTTATGACCCCATCTCATTGTAGTTCCATAGTCTGCAGAAACAAAAGTAGGTTTGTTTCCATATTGGTTAGGTTCTGAATGAACTTTAAACAATGTTTCATTTCTATATGTTTTGTTGAAATTTAACCTTTTATTTTCACCGAGTTCAGCCAAAGATTGAACGTTATATGGTCGTAAGTAAAAAGGATTGTTGTATTTGCGTACATTTTCTTTCAGTACTTCCATTCTATGCTGAATATTTTCATCTGATGTTGGAGTCTTTTGTATGTCGGCGAACATTTTTCGATATTCTTCTACTATGTCAGCCGAATTTTTCTTAGACTCTTGGAAAGATTCCATATTCCCGCATACACTTGTTGAGGGTCAAGATTTTTCGGCTGTTCCAAATCTTCATCTAGTTCTGTGAAGTTAGTTTCCAAAGGAGGGACTTGTTCGTTTCCTTCAGGCTCTTCTAGCTGTTGTTGCTGAACTATTTCTTCCATGTCTGGTTGTATCTGAACTTCTTCCTGTGGAGTTTCTTGTACCTCATCTGCTGGCATTTCATATATTCCGAGACCGTTTTTAAAAAGTTCCCTATCTAAGTCATCCGGACTCATAAACCTTTCTTCTTTCGTTCCGTCTCTATTTTTTACGCGTTTCATGAAGAGAGTTGAATTATCATTTAGCTCTGACACCAAATATCTCGGAGTAAATTCAGTCATGTCATTTGGATGATATGCTATTAAATCATATCCCTTAGCGAGCTTGTATTTTCCAGGTTTGAAATTATATCCCATTTGGTGCTGAACCATAAAGCTAAATAGGTTCGGGTCAGTATTTCCTTCCTTGAACTTTCTAATAGCTTCTTTATATCTGTCACTAAAGTCAAGAGTATCTGGGTAACCATAGTCTTCCTTAAGCATTTTTAAGAATTCTTGGTTTCCTTGTTCTCTACTTCTTTTATGTCCTTGCTCTGTTTGTGGTTGTTGCTGTGCAGTGTTTTGAACTGTTGGTTGTGGTGCAGTGTTTTGAACTGTTGGTTGTGGTGCAGTGTTTTGAACTGTTGGTTGTGGTGCAGTGTTTTGAACTGTTGGTTGTTGTGCTGGATTTTGAACTGTTGGTTGTTGTGTTGGTTTTGGTGCATGCCTGTGTCTGTGTCCATGTGACGATGTAAATGTTTTAGGTAGTCCTGGTGCAGGTGCTTCTCTTGGAGGGTTTGGTGGTATATAAGTTCCACTAGCTAGTATATAAGTTCCACCAGCTGGCACATATGTTCCATCTGCAGCATAATGTCCTACCTGACTTTTCGTTCTTAAGAAAGCATTTACTAGGTCTGTTTTGGTCTGTTGTAACTCTTTTTCTTGACTTTCCACAACAGTTGCTCTAACGGCGTCATAGGCACTTTGAACTGCCTGTCTCGTTGCTGCATCTGTTATTTTCGTCATATTTTGTGCTACTTCTCTTAACTCGTTGTCGAAACCTTCAGACTTCAGTTTCTTTCCAGATGAGAAGTCGTTCACTAGTTTCACCTTACTATGAAGAGCTTCGAAGGCGTTCTTAAAGTCAGCATTCATTAAAGCTTCATTTGAACTGTCTTCATCCGCTTGTATTTTTGTCCTTATTGACCCTATAAGTTGGGCTGCTTTGGCGTTGGCTTGGGCATCTAACCAGTCATTATTAGCTTTTATATATTCTGCGCTTTTCATTGCCTTTTGCATGGCTGCGTCGTTATTTTTACTTTCTTGTGCTAAGTTTTCATACTGTACGGTTTGGTTTTGCAACTGTAAAAGTTTTTCTGCCTTTACATTTGCTTCAACTTCTTTTTTATACTCATCGCTATCCATATATGTCTTCAGGGCTTTTTGTTTTATCTCTTCATCTTTCAGTACTTTATATTGAGTAGTATGGTTTTTCAAATTTATAACATCTTGTTCCATTTTTGCTACTTCTGCTGCTTTTTCTGAAACTTTTTTCGCATATTCCTCTGTACTTAGTTCTTTCAGTTGTTCTTCTTTCTTCTTTTTCTCTACGTTTAACTCATTGAGTTTCTTTGTGTGTCTGTCATATTCTAGTTTCTTTTCGTTTTCACTTATTTGTTTCTGTATGTCTATGTTTGACTTTTTGACATCTGTTATTTGATTTTTGAGTGAACTCAAATTCATTTGACTTTGAGGGTTATAGGCTGTTCCGTCTGCAGCTCCACCATAGCCTGCCATTTTCGCTAAAAGTGCCGCTCTTAAACCTCCACTCTGTGCACCTATAACTCGGTTTAAAAGCATAGGGTTGCTTGACATTTGTTGCAACATAGTGGGGTCATTCATCATTTGTTGTTGCAACTGTTGTTGTGGTGTCAGTTTTACTATTGGATGTTTCAATGCTCCCTTCCTCTTACGTATATTCTTACGTAGCTTACGTGGCATTTTAAGTGAAGTTAAAAAGCGGCTTTTGACAGATGTTTATATGACATTTTTTGTTCAGCACAAAAAACTACTCGGTCAAAGTGTTGTCAGTTTTGTAAAATAACCGTCCTATCTTGTTTTAAAATGGAGAAAAGGCTTCTCAAAGTATACTTCCTTGGAACGCCTGTAACTTTTCCTGTAGCGACGATAGACCCTTACTTGTCCGGATAAAGTTATACTAAACATCTTCAGGGCTAGAGGGCACGAAGTGCCTGGAGGCCCCACTACCTTTTTTTTTTTTTTTTTTTTTTATATTCATAAAGATTTTCCAAAAATATGATACCGCAAAATTAAAAAAGTAACGTCTTGAGTGGAGTCAAAGGTCGAAATTGCTAGCTAAATGTTTTTTTAGCGAAATTGCGTATTGTACGTTTTTTTCGCAAAACGAAACCCTTATCTGATTTGTGAAAACATCTCATCAGTTTCTAGCTAATTCAAAAATCTTTACTATCTTATTCGATTAAAATGAAAAGGGAATAGTTTCATTATGCTTTAAATGACAGCCTTATAATATAATCATAGTTTTCGCTCAATATGCAGCATTTTTTTTTCGAAATCTATGGTCAATATCCTAAATACTGATTGCTTTGCATTCGTATCTCTTACATTTTCTATACCCACATCACTATTCATTGCTATTCCTATCTTTTTCATTTTTGTTTGTTTCTCATAATTTCTCAAAAAACACGATAACTTGATATTTGTAAATATCATACTTTATAACGTAAATAAGAACTTGACCTATTAAGAAAAGCAGTAATGAAAAGAAAATCTGAAATTCATAAAAATTACAAGTTTCTGATGACAATTAGCTTAATTAAACCAGGTACAAGATTATATAATTGTATTTTCTATCCAATTATCCATATAATATCTTATCCAGAAAAAATAACTTGATCAATACCAAATGATTTTTTAACTAGTAAATAAAGTATTTTCTTTACACATACATTGTATATCATAGTTTTTTTTTGGTTTCGCAAAACATCCAAAAACAAATATGCTATAAAAGTGACAATTTTAGCAAAACGAAACCCTTAAATCAGATTTTTAATCTCTATAATGCATAATTCACTCAATATCTCAATTTTGATATTGCGAGATATTTTTGCTATCGGTTTCGCAATTTTGACACAATAGCAAGAGGGTTCTATAAGCATTATTATCAACGTAGAATCTGAATATCATATCAGAAAATGTCGCAAATCTGACATTTACACGACCAAATAGCAAAAATAATTGAATACTTTTCGCAAAAACTTTAAAAATCGATAAAAATATGAAATATAGATATTAAAGAGACTTTTTATATAATATTCATAAAGATTTTCCAAAAATATGATACCGCAAAATTAAAAAAGTAACGTCTTGAGTGGAGTCAAAGGTCGAAATTGCTAGCTAAATGTTTTTTTAGCGAAATTGCGTATTGTACGTTTTTTTCGCAAAACGAAACCCTTAGATAGATTCGATTTAGCAAAAATGAAAAATTCTAAAAAATACAAAAGAATGTCGAACAAATAAAATACGTTTAAACATAAACAAATAAAAGTTAAGATATGTAGAATAAGAAATAGACAGAATAATAGCGCATAAAAAATAAATAAGAAAAATTATGTAAACCAGATCACTTCTGAGGCTTTGGCCTTGAATTGATCCACTTACAACTTTCAAGATCTCTCTCCGTACAGTTGCGAACAAAGATCTTGTCAACATGAGTCAATAATCTGATATTTTCATAGTCAACATCGCTGACATCGTACTCAGACTTGAGTTTGTCAACATCTTTGGTATTCATTTCTATGAATCCATGTGAAGGAAAATTACCTTGTTGGTGGAATAAGCTTCCGTCGATGCTTTTGATACCAAGAAGATGTGCGAACTTTATCTTGTCAACATGAAGTACATAATCGTTGATCCATTTAACACCAACTAAGGAATCAAATTTTGAGTCAAGGGTTGAGAGTTTGAGGGCGTTATATAGTTTATATGAAAACCTACAGCTGGCATTGTTCTTCTTTTGGAAAAACTCAGCGACCAACTCACCGAACGTAAAATCCTTATCCACCCAACGGCTTCTTGGTATAAAGCCAAGCTTGACAGGATTAACAATAAGGGCTGTATCTGAAAGTGCCTCGGTAAAATGAGCATCTTCAATCGGCGTAAACTTTTGACGATTTTCTTTTTGCTTCACTTGTACCGGAATCAAAGAGAGGATTGACCTTGCTGACAAAAATGCTGTTAGCTGCGATGATAGATTCTTTTGTTGTACCGCAGGTGTATGAATCTTGATTGGCGAAGATATTGCTCTCTTATGAAGTTTTTTCGAAACAACCTCTTGCGATTCATTCGAGTTTGGTGGGTAAGGTGCTGAAAATGGTTCGAAATTTGTGTTTCTTAAACCATAGTCAATATCAAAATTCAAACTATCGTTTAACTCCGGAAACTCCAACTCAGGTGTGTTCATTGATGCATAGTTCGGCGATTCTCCAATATCATCTATTGTATCAATGCCAAGCGGCGAGCAGAGTGAGAAATTCATATCCGAAGTAAAATTCATAACCGATGGAAAAATTGAGAGATTTATTTAACTAAATTCTGAGGTATATTTATTTCACTCGAGAATACGAAATATTTCTAGTAATGCCAAACATCAAATTTTTGTTGTGATCCCCATTTGACCTTATCAAATTCAATCATGTCATATTTTTTTCTTTAATTAGCTTATTTTTAGCTCCAACTAAGAGTTTATTGCAAGATTAGCATAATCGATTCGATTGCATTCAAAGACATTGAATGCATGGTTCTTGGATTCTGCAAGCTGAAAGAAATAATATAAATTTGTTAGCAAATGACATAAAGGAAATTTGTTGCGGTTTCTTCAAAAAGTAGGAAATACCATACCGATATTCAAAGTCATTACATTTACTAAGTCTATAAGTCCATTATCAGGCAGCATTTAACTTATAGTGGGCGTGTTTAGATACGAATTGAAAATTAAGAGCATTCATAACTATCTTTCGAACCTTTATATATCTAAGCATGATAAAAACAATGTTTTTAATAGCCGATGCATTCTATGTTTGACTGGAGCTCTCAAACAATTTTTTTATCTTGGTCTTATGTAGAAAACTCCAAAATGCATTGCAAACTAACATAAACATGCATTTGTTAAACTATAAATAAACTTACTGAATGAAGAATTCTGATAATTATCAGCAAATTGAAAATCAAGCAAATCGCTACATATGTGAAGTATTAAAATTCATTGATGCAGCATTCTTATTAGCTTCCAACAGTTATTGATTGTAAGATCATATAATTTGAAAACTCCATAATTTCAAAATCATTTAATACTATCAATTCTCCATAGATCATCCCAAAAATTCATATAAGAGTCTTTGTTTTTAGACAAATTGCATTACAATGACTATAAATGGATCCATTTTCGTTATATCTATATAAATGTTAAAAATTTCGCCAAAGGAATGTAAGTAAATCAACTCAAAGATCTAATCGATGAATTTCTAATCTGAGGTCAAGCAATAGAACAAGGAAAAAATGTGCAATTGATGCAATATATAGTATTTTGCTTGGCGATCGAGTTGTTTCAGGAAATAAACTACAATAACATCCAAATAATAAATAAAATCATGACAATAAGGTTTGAAATCCCTTTCAAATATCGTTTTTATCTGGATATTCTCACAATATTTTGAATAGTTTTTTGTTGGATTCAAATTTTGAAATTCAGGAGTATATCTCTTTTAGTTTCATTTCATCTTGCTAATTAAGTGGTAATTACTGAGTCTTTTTTCAAGCTATATCATCATAAGAGAGGTAGGGCAACGATAGGTCAAAAAGGCTTCTCTGATAGATTTCCTTGCCTTTTGGATATGCTATAATATATAGCCTAGCATGATAGGATATGATGTCAAAAGTTAGAACATAACTTAGGATCTTGAGAAAAATGAAAAACAAAAATTACATAAAAAAAGGAAAATTTTATCTAATTTGTTTTTTGGACCGAATAAGTAATTTTATTGAATTTCAATACGACACATAGATTTTATTATTAGTAATAAATATAATGGTTTACTATTAACAAGGAACCTAAACTAATGAAAATTTGATTTCAAATATTGTATATGATTATCATAGATTACCAAAATATATTGCTATTTATGAGGATATAATATTGATTATTAGTAAATCGTATAAATTTAATAAATATACCATGAATATTGAATGAATTTCTTGATTCATAGGGGTAAAACGCGCTTTTATATGATTTAGACAGAGAATTTATGAGATGTAAATAACACAATAAAGGTTTATATTGAATATTTTCTAAAAATAAATCGAAATTATAAAAAACAATACATTTATTCATTGAAACTACTTGGACAAATATGAAACAAGCATTCAGGCAATACTTTTGAGACTTCAACGCATCTGATAATTTTTATATAACTTCACCTCTTATGCTTAGAGTGGAGGTATTGAGATCGTATAAGTATAGATGAGCTCACATTCAGATATGATGTGTGAACTTCTGTTTTCACTGCAATTTTGAATCAGAATAAACTCAAAACAAGAATAAAATGATATACTCACTCTCTAAATGTGTTCGAGATTTAAAGTTGTATGAATAAAACGATTCATCTTTCGAAGCCTCCCATTTAATGAGAGACTTCGAAAGATGAATGTATTCATGTAGATGAAATACTATATATGACCATGTGTGATACTAAAGATATCAAAATGTTCATTTTTAAGTGCAATAGAAGGGTTATCTCTCGTAAAATCTCAATTTAAGGAAGATTTAGAAAGAACTCCTTTCCTAAGTAGATAGTGTGTGGTTTCTGTCTTTTGGTTGATCAGGAACTATGAAATTAAGTCGGACAGAAAGAAGTTCTTTCCAAAACAGACTCCAAATGAGTTGTTCGAAAAGAACTTCCTTCTGTATATGGATAATTGTAGTTACCGCACTGAAGTATGTGATTGTGATGATGGAGTTCTCGATAAATCTAAAATCGGATTAAGATTAATTGAAAACTCAAGTAATTCTTTGAAATCTTGTGTTGTCTGGCACTATAATAACCAAAGAATGAGAATATTATGTTGAATGATGAGTACGTGTGCTCGGCATTCGCCGAGCGAATTGAGTTTAACGTACTATGAAAAGTGACAAATTTGGGCTTTTTTTCCTAGGGTTATGATCTCTTCCTTTCTGCTCAATACGACAGAAATGAAAGAATGAATTTGTACTCCCTAATTGATTACTACAATCTGTATCTATCTTTAACATAGAATTAGCTGCATTGTGATTTATACTCCAGAATTATTCAATTTAAGATCAACCTCGTAAATTTTAATCATATTGCACCAATACTCCTACGTTGAGATAAGAACATGATTATACATACCAAAGCCCCATATTAAAAATCAAAATTTAGCACCTCCATTATGCAACCACATTATTTGTCGCAAATAAGTATATTTACGCATATTATGATGCATATTCACACAACTCGTATACATGAAAAGTTATTAAAATCAGACAAAATTATTGCAATAAGGAAAAAAAAAACAACTTTATTATATATGTTAGTAATGAATTACAAATATTTCTACAAAGAATGCTCAATACTTCATATAATCTTCGAATATTTCTTATTACAAGTTAATACATTTTGACTCGAACATGATAAACAAAAGCTGACACACTGATTACTACATTTATGAAAATATAGTACGTTTCCATTCATCTGTTTACTTGTTTTTGTTGGAATAAAATCATTTTTTTTTTTTCATGAAATAAGAATTTTGTTGCGAAAGCAATATCTCTAACAATAATTAATACATTACGTCAACTCTGGAATGAGTATTTATCAAATATGATATCAAAATCAAAAATTAGTTGTTTTTTATGAGTAAAAACGATGTAAATTGATTATTTGACTAATTATCAAATACTTTGATTTTCCAAATTTTTTTCGAAATTGATTTTTTCATGTGAAATTCAAATTGTTTAATTTCATTTTTGAAATTTTGAATTTTTTTTGGAATTTTGAGTTGATCAATTCAGCAGAATTGATAATGCTATTGCTTTAGGGCATACCACAAGGTGATGAATAAAAGGTGAACATTAACAAATTATTTTAAATCACAAATATCATCCTCATCAACTTTAATTCTAAAAAGAACTGTACTGAATTATGAAAATGCATGATTTACATTATTAAAATCTTTGAATGAAAATAGTACAAGATAAGTTTTTATTCATTTTTAATTAGATTTAAACGAAAAACTACTCCATATTAAAATTTAAGTCGAGAAATCGTATTTTGTTCTTATTTGTTAGCATTTTGTAGACATTCTAATCTTGAATTAATTTGTTACATGATATTATTAACAAATTTAACTGAAAAAATATGTTAATATGGAATAAACCATGATTATATAAGCTATCAATGCTATATATACATATGTAAAGATTCATATTAACTCAATTAACAAAAATGATAGATTTTCATAAAGGTTCAATCTACGTTCGTCCGAAAATTTTGATTTTTATATAGAAGACATAGTTTCTATATACATAATTAAATTTTCAAACAAATTTGATCATACCATTTATTAAGCAGGATAGTATATTAATTACTATCAGTATAAAAATATAAAAATGATTATATTTAATTATTGCATAATTTAGTCAAAGAGTTATAAGCCTCAAGTGATCGTTATCACCTTCAATGCACGTATACTTTATTGATTCATAGATATTTAATCTATGTTTGACATGTTGTTGTCGTCATTCGTTTTGTTCCCATTCTTCCTAAGTTAGAATTAGAGAATACACCATCCACATCATCTAATTTGGTCCTCAGCGATAGATTGGTTCATTTTGGAGGAGTCCCATCAGACAGTTTTCGAGCACCAAATATCAAATTTTAATGTATACAAATCTTTAGTGATTTATCTCTTTTATGATGAGTAAAAGGTTTCTGCTCATCAACATTTGATTTCCGACATATATGATTTCTAATTGCAATTATTTACTTTCTTTTTATAATCTAACTCTGTGACTCATACCATAAATTAATTATTGGAAAGTGTCAATATGTTTGGCACAACGCATGGCGGAAGATACCAAACCATGCAGGGAATATGATACGTTTAAGATCTCCGAACTTTTTTTCCAAAAATTTTCTATCGTTGCCCTACCTCTATCATAAGATTGATCAACAATTGTTCAATTTTCAAAAACATTAAAATTGGCCTTTTGAGTGTTCATTGATGCAAGCAATGCGTTGTGTTTAAACTGAGTAATAAGTTGCCTTTGAAAGAGTAATGAAAAACGATTTCTTTGAGAAAGTTTTGAGCTGATCGTTTCAATTGTACTAAGATTAAAATAAACAATACGAATGAACAATATATATTAGGATTAAAGCTCCGTAATTCAAAATTATTGTGGTCATTTTTTTGGTCTTGATTTGATCTTCATAAATTTTAATTAAAAACGCATTACCATTCTGTATATTAATGAAATATGCACATTAAATCTTTTCAAATTCATTCTAATACTTCGAAAATTTCAATGCAACGTTTTTATCGTTTACTATTTATAGTTTCAAATCTTGCATATTTCAAGGTTCTTTTCAAATCAAAATAAAAATTACTATAGCAGACTTTATATTATCATTCAATTTTTGAATGATCTTCTCAATGCTTTAAAAAAGTAATTTATAAATCGATCCAGTTACATTTTGTAGTTAATATTATTGAAAAATATTTTCAAAAAGTGACAAAAATGAGCTCAATCCTTGATTCACTGTTCGGGAAGAAACAGGCAACTGAAGGAAAGCCATTATTAAATAAAAAATCCCCTGAAGTATTACAATTCAAGCAAATGGTTGAAGAAATCAATAATTCCGATCAAGTATTAAAATGCGTCGATTTTTACATCACCAGATTCGGTAATTTCTACGATAGAGAAGGCCTCATCGCAGGTGATATCAAACATGAAGTTACAAAAGTGATTGAGTTATATAAACCTCTTTTCAATGATTCATTCAATGATAAAGTCAAATACATTTACGGCCTCGCTTTTTTGGAAAGAGCCGCATGCTTATACCATTCAGATTATTGGGAAAAGCATCTCCTTCTTGATATCATGTACGATATTATCCATACAAATAAAGATGAACTTATTCAAGATGCTCTTCCATACATTAAAGAGATCTCATCAGATAAGAATCTCCTGAGAATTATATTTGCAGGCAATCACATTGTTACATTTTGGAATGAAGTCATTGCCAAAGAAAGCAAGGTTAACAAGCAGATTGCAAGCTATTTTATTGAAGCTGCCTTCAAGCAGACAGACTTAATTATCCTACAACTCAAAGAATTCTTGGATAATGCAATTGTTCAAATCAGTGGTGATGTAGTACCACCAGAAATGCTTCCAGTAGGTCTTCATCTTATTGGTGCACTCATTGCAAATATCAGCGCCGAGCAATACATTCAAAGTATTTTTAATGTTTTAGATACAAAAATTAATTCCATCGTATCATATGAATGGTTTGCAGGATTCCTTCTTACAAGATCCTTAAACCAGAACATTGCTTGGCAAAAGCTTCAATTTGTTATTATGAATAATGACGCAACAACAAGACAAATGTGCACTGCAGTTGACGCACTTTACTTCGTAAGAACACATCCAAGAGTTAAAAACTTCGAACTTATTCCATTTACAAGAGTTTTCCCTAATATGCCATTTGAAACACAGACAAAGCTTTACGAAATCGCTCTTAACCACAATCTTAAGGAGCGTATCCTCATATTCCACGAGACATATCCATTCTGGGAACGCAATATTAATACAGAAGCTTTATCTAAATTTGTTATCAACGCTAATTGGGGTAACAAAGGCTACAAGGAATTAATATCTGTATTAGAATCCTTACCATTCGATCCACTTGTCGCTGCTCTTATTAAGGATGTTCATACATTTAATATTGTAGCTTCGATCTTTTCTCATTTAGATCCAGAATGGCCAAAGATCAACGATTTCCTCGAAGCTGTATTAAATGGAACACTTGAAGAGTCACGACATCCTCAAGAATTAGCAAAGATTGTACTTCCACAATTTGATCCACATATTTTCATTGAAACAGTCAAGAAATACTTCGACAGAGATGTTCTCAATGTCGCTGTCCTCGAATTAATTGCAGAATACGCAGAGAATTCTTTAGATTTCACACATGCTTTTTGCGAGACAGGCGGATTGGATAAATTAACAAAGCATTTATCATGCCCACAGACATTAGATATTATTCGCGCCTTTGTTAGGGACGAACCTTACAACTTGGTCGATGAATATATCGCAAGAACAGATTTCTCTCAAATTCCAAAGGATAAAATCACACATCTCATGTGTGGAACAAAGCAATCCGAAAACTTACCGAAGTCACAGTTCATTCGCATTCCTTCTTTGTGCAAATATGTTCAGCCAATGTTAGATTACGCTTACAACCGTTACATTTACGGTAAATATGCTCCATTATACTTTACACCACCAGAAGGAGACATTTTCGAGAGCTCAAGAACTTATATGAATTCAGAAGTTGCTGCAAAGTTCATGACATCTCCAAAATCCATTTCATACCTCATCCAGAATATGGAACCTTGCACAGGTGTCTACCAGCTCAACCATGACTGTCCAAATCACTCTCATCCGATCAAATGCGAAGGAGTCACTTCATTTTGGATCTTCGTACACAAATTCGAAGGTAAATCAACAATGTTTACAATCGATGACAAATTTACAGTCTTTTTCGAGAACGGAAATATCTGCTTGCATAAGTCCGCTCTTACACTGAAATTCAAGGAATGGCATCTTATTACCTTCCAAATGAAGACTGTTGAAGACAAGAAAGCCATGTCCGTTTACTTCGACATGGAAGAATTGAGAACAGTCGAAACCGACTCCGATACCATCACATTAGGTGGAGAAACAGCACCAAATGGACATTGGTACATTGGAGAGTTCTTTACAAACAAAGTTACCATGACAACGAAATATCTTTCCGAAGTCATGGACAAAGGTCCTTCCAAAGTATCTACAAAGCTCCAAACGCCATTTGTCTACGTTCCATACGCAGGCCCACTGTCATATCTTCCTGCATTTGGTGGTCCTGACACTTTTTGGAGTGCATGCTTCAATTCCAAGGAGATTGACGAGTTCCTTGAGCTTATCCTTGCTGCTTTCAGTCTCGAGAGATCCAAGATTATCACAACAGAAGACTTATTCAACGGAATTGCCGCTTGTGCCATCCAAGTTCCGCATTTAATGATCGAACAGACAGGCCAGATCGCAGTCATGGAGTCAATGAAGCAGCTCAGAACAACATCTCCTATGCTCACACATCTTTTCCAGAACTATTTCTTCGCAAACGCTCCTGACATGTTGCATCAACTCTTCTTGAGCACATATTCAGAGTTGAAGGACCCTGTTGCCATACTTCCTTACCTCACAGACTCCCTCATCTTCTTCAATATCACCGGCGCTAGATTGGAGAACACACTCGAAGCGATCGGAATGATCATGAAGAAGAAGCCAGAGGAAACAATCAAATTCATGTTGGACATTTTGAGAGGAATGCCATTCATCAACTCAATGAAAGTTGAAACTCCTGATGACCCACAGATCACAGAGCTTCAGACAGAGTTGATGAGAAGAGTATTCGGAGCTGGATTCCCTAAGAAAGCTGAAGATTGCTTGGAACCACTCGATACTTTATCTTCTTGCATTGCTCCTTATGTTTTCAACGGATTTGTGAAGAATTCAATTCAAATTGATGGTTTCTTCTCACAAGATATCCTCAACAAGATGTATCCTGCTTTAGCATTCTACTCTGACAAGGAGTTAGTTTGGCAGGGCATCTTTTCACTCATTAACAACCAAGTTCTCAAGAAGATGTCAGATTTCAAGACAGATTTGATTGCTCGTCCAAATATCGTCATCCTCGCATACGACTTAGCTTGCGAACTCCTCAGAAAGGACTTGAACTCAAAGCTCGCATCAACAGTTCTCCAGTATTTGCTTGGTATTGAGAGAAATGCTGATGTTTTGTGTCCGAATTTGCATGTTTACGTGTCAAAATTATGTGCAGCCGGATTCCATTACTACGAGAAGATGAGTATTCCATTCTCCATTTATCCTGATGAGACTAAGTACGTCAATGACGAAGACATCAGTGGTTTGTCTGTCAATTATTCGAACGAAAAAGATTTCGTCGATATCGATGACGCCAAATACGAATATACCATCGAAAGGAAGCCAAAGAAAGAAGATGACAAAGCAAGAAAACTCGATGGACAAACAGACATCTGCAGAATTATTGCTGACATGTCAAGTCTGATGTTGAATTTGAAGTGCAATGACGCAAATCTCTTCAAAGATCTCTTGGTAAAGAACACAATCCAAGGTGCAGATGTTCCTCAACCAGTTTCAAAGGAAATGCACATCTTCCTTTTGTACGATTTCCTCATGACAAAGCCGAAACTGGTTGATGTATCAAAGTCTGTTTTATGCGACTTTGTTTCCACTGTTGTTTTCTCTGGCTGGTGGAAGAACTACGAACAACCACTTCTCGCCATTTTGTTCGATTACTTACCACCAGAGCCAATCAATTTCATGACTGTCTGCATGTTGTCAATCAACTCTCCTCGCATCATCATGAAATTGCTTCAGACACCTGTTGCATGGAAGAAATGCCAGAAATCTAAGAATTTTATGGATTATTTCGCAGAAAAATTATCTCAGTACGAATTCACAGAAGACCAAGAGAAATTAATTCTCAAAGAATTGAGCAATCCTTTGAAGAAGAACTTCCAAAACAAGACAATGAAGGAGTACTTGACACAAGACAAACTCGACAGTGCAGAAATTATCAAGAAACAAACTCAAAACTACATCAACCAGTTGAATCAAGACATCATCTCAAAGAGATTGAACAGCTCTCTCAAGACTCCAAGCAATGTCTTCGAAATCTCAAGAAATGGAAACGCTTTCTTGCACAGAATTTCATTGAGAAATCAGTTCGCAACAAGATTCAACAAATGCTGCATGGGAGCTGAAGAAAACATCTGCCACGTCTACCAAACAAGAGTTTTACTCGAAGACTTCAACTTAAACGAAAAAGGAAAGATAACTCTCTTGAACTCGCCAAGCCCAATTTATCCAGCTAAAAACTTGTTGCCATTACCAGAGAAGAGTGAAGAAAATAAGGTCAACGATCTTAATCTCAACTTCAGACCTTATTTCACTCCAAAGATCGAATACAAGTCTCTCAATGGAATATTGCTTCCTCCATATTTGAACAGCGAAAAGGAAGAAGAACTCAAGAGATCTTTGACAAACAAATTGCATTCAAACGAGTTTGTTTCATTCGAAATTATCTTAGATCATAATCTTCCTTGCGTCGGTGCTTTTGCTGAAGACAAATTCGTATTTGTTTTGAACGCAAAAGTTACAGAAAAAGGCATCGAAATTCTTGAGAACAAAGGCGACAAAATCATTGATATGTCCATCAGTGGATTACTCGGCAGATCATCACTCTTCTTCCACTCTCCTTCATTGGAGATAAACAAGAAAGAAGTTACATTTGTCGAGACATCCAAATTATCTGATGTTTTGACATTAGTTGACATTTTCTTGTTCGATGGCAAACACTTCAGCTTCTCAGTGAACAACGATATCCAAGATGATTTTGTCAACAAGATCAAACCAGAAAAGCCAGTTTTGCCACAGATTCTCGAAATGTCATCCTCAGACATTTTGAAGGGATATTCAGATGGAACAATCACAACATTGGATCTTCTCTTCTACGCAAACAAAAAGGCAGGAAAGTCATACTCAGATAGAGATAACTATCCATTATTCCCATTAATCAAAAGTGATGGTTCCATGAATTTGTCAGAGATTGATTTGACAATCAGAAAACAATTTGTTAACAAGTTATTGAACAATGAGTTCTCTGATATCAAATCTGCAATCAATGAAGCAGAAAAGTCACTTTTGACTCCAGAATTCTACATCCCAAGTGAAATTTCTAACGAACCGAAAGAGACAATTTTCATGCGTTCTCTTTTGGAGAAGTCTGATATTTCCGAATGGGTTGATAGTATCTTTGGACCAGAAAGCTCCACAAGAGTTTTCGACAGCAAGATGCCAAAGCCAACACAAAGAGACATCAATTTCGACACTGAATATCATTCAACAGTTTTAGTTCCTCAGCCATACGCAACAAGAGTTAAATCGACCAAAGCAGGCTGTGTTTTCTTATCCAAAGATCAGTACATGCTTCAGAAGGCAATGGATATTGATGACTTCCTTGTCGAACACTCTTTGAAGAACATTTCCGCTCTTGCTGTTTCAGAAGATTCGACTGCAATTGCTGCTGCAACAGCTCAAGGAACAATTTTAGTTTACTTCGCTGTTTCAAATCATTCGAAGTTAATTACATGTCCAAAGGCTGTCATGACATCAATGTCCTTGGATACAAAGTCGAATTCCCTCCTTGCAACAGATGGAGAGTATATCTATCTGTTCGATATTCCTTCTGCTGTTTTGGCCAAGAAAGTTAAGTGCGAAAATGTTGTTTCTTTGGCACTTTTCTCTGTTGAAGATTTACTCATCGCCATCACAAAGACTAAAGCGATTGTTTTCAACAACGATTTAGTACAGTTGTCAGAACTCGCCATGGAAAGCGAGCCCACATGCCTTTCAACAATCGAAGGCCCAATGTTCGAAGAAAAGCCAAGATTCGTTATTGGTTTTGTCAATGGAGAAGTTTCAAGTTTCGCATTCGATATCCAGAACTGCTCCTGCCAGAAGGTCTTGACATACCAGAAGGAAGGATTGCCAGTAAAGAGCGTTACTTCATTACACCACGGAAAGGCAATTATCGCCTTGGATAATGAAGGAGGAGCAACAAGTTTCACAGCGAAGAAATGTCCGAAATTCGCAGATGTGTCACTTTTCATCAAATGCACAGGATGCGATAAAGAAGCTGCATGGCTTTGCAGAGATTGCGGAAGAGCCTTCTGCGGTGGATGCTTAGTTGGTGGTAAATGCCCTCAATGCAGACAAATGTCAGGACATTTCCAGTACTTCGAGAAGAAGGAATGACTATCTGGACCTAATGACTTATGGGTACTTTTAGTTCTGGTCTTGTTCATTTATTATTTGTTCCCTTAATTTTAGAAAAAAAAAGTCCCATTATTTTATTTATTTTCTTTTATTTTTTTTGAGTTTTAATTTATTATGTTGGGGTTGGTTGTTTAGTTTTTGATTCGTAATTTGGTCATCGAGTAAAAGCAAATTTTATTATTTTGAATTATTGGGTTCACCAACGCCTCGGTTACATATTTCTCATTTTTAGCACCAAAAACTCATAATTTACATAAAATTATACTTTCTTAATAAGGACAGAATTGTCAAATTTAATTTTGAGTATAAAATGGTATTAAATATAAGTTTCTTTTAACAAAACATATACTATTGATGTGAGTATTTAAAACCTAGAGTCTCAAAGAATAACTATGATATTTGAGAGATTTGGTTTTATTGAATTTGAAATAACCTAGAATTAAGGAAATAATTGCATATTACATGATATAAAAGACCATTTGTTGGTATTGGTCTTGCTTTAATTTAGCTTCCTGCTAGTGAAAACTATGCTCAATGATTATGTTAAATTTGAATACATTACAAATTTTTATATTTTGATAAATTGATTGCATTATAGTTGCAATTTGGTTGTAGTGATTTTCCAAATTTGAGAAGAAATTTTGGTAAAAAATATGGTTGAGATTGGATTGATTCCCTAGCCGTGATATTATTTCTTTTACAATATGAAGATAAGTCTAATGGTGTTGAGTATGATTCTGAAGCTAGAAAGGTTATTATCAGTACACCAACAAATCTTCAAAATTTTATTGTACCAGCTTCAGTTGAAATTATTAAAGGCGGTGATTCATCTTCCAAAAGCTCCTTTGATAAATGCAAATCCACAATCGTTTCAATTTCATTTGAAGAAAACTCGAAAGTTAACGAAATCGATGAATGGGTATTCTCATATAGCTCACTACGATCAATTGATATGCATGCATGTACCCAATTACCTTATTTGAATTGCTCGCTTTTTTCAAATTCAAGAAATTTAAATAACATTATATTTCCACCATGTATCAAGAAAATCTGTCATGGTTGCTTTTACAATTGCCAATCTTTGAAATCGGTGACTATTCCGGACTCAGTTGAAGAACTCCAAAGTTATCACGAAATACATAAAAGAGTTTTCAATTCTTACTTAGAATCAGTCACTATCTCATCATCGTCGAACCTAACTACAATCAACTCTGATGTTTTTTATCAAACTAAATTAAAATATTTTTATATACCATCCAAATTGAAAACAATTGTTGTTTCAGCCTTTATGGGTGTTCCAATTGAAAGATTCGACATTGATCCAAAGAATAAATATTTTAAATCTGATGGAAAAATCTTATACAGCGGAAATCAAAACAATACACTTCATTTTGTTTCATCCATAACGAGTGGATCATTTACTATACCTTTATTCGTTACCCAAGTGAATAAAAACTGTTTTAGAGGTTGCACTGTTTCTAATATTGAAATCCATCCTAATTTGAGAAGTATTGATCAATACGCGTTTTGTGGAACACATATTTCAACATTCACATATAATTCTCTTATCACAAGGATTGAAGCTCTCACTTTCCTCCAATGTTCAAACCTTGAAACTGTTGAGGTAAATGATAAAATTGTATTTATCGGTCATAGTTGTTTTCAATCTTGTCCGAAACTAAAGAACATCAGATTACCATCGAGTCTGGTTGAGATAGGTGATTCTGCGTTTGCTGGTTGCACAGTGCTGAATGATCTAATAATTCCTGCTTCATTAGTAACGATGGGAGCTTCAGTATTCAAAGATGTTCGATCTTCTTTTGTTTTGAATTATACTTTGAATTCCAGATTTCTGATGGAAAATGGATTGTTTTACCAGGATGATAAGCGTGTTTTATCTGGATACTTTGATAAAGGAGAAAAAGCAATTACTATTCGGTCTGAATGTACAACAGTCAGCAATTTAGTCTTCACATCTGCGACAATTCAAACTGTTACATTTTCAAACAGTCCTGAATTAAATGTTGGAGATAATGTGTTCACCGAATCACAAGTCAAAACAATTAATTTCCCATCTACATTAAAGAAATTAGGAAAACAATGTTTTCGGAACTGTCTCCAATTAGAAAAAGTCTCATTTCCTGGAACAATGATCACAGAAATTCCTGAAGAATGTTTCATTAATTGTCCAAAATTAAAAAGCATAACTCTGCCAAAATCAATAACAACAGTCATAAGGCTCTTTTAACAGTTGTTATTGGAGAAGGAGTGCAATCAATAGGAGATAACGCGTTCGATAGTTGCTCTTCCTTAGTTGAAGTAAACATTTCAACAACAGTCAAAAATATAAGATACGAAGCTTTCTCCAATTGTATAAGTTTGACCACATTCAATATCGGACTAAATGGCAATTTACAAGAAGTACAAGGTGCTTGCTTCAACAATTGTCCGAGTCTCCAAAAATTAAATTTGCATCCAGATGAAAGTAAGTATAGATTTTCAAGTGGAGCTTTGACTGATTGGGACGAAACGAAGATCATTTGTTTCTTGCCGAGCTCGAACATAAACACGTTCATTGTACCTACCAGCATGAGAACTATTGGAAGCTACGCGTTCATGGGAGCTTCGAGGTTAACAAGAGTTTTGTTCAATGGAAACCAAATCCAAAATATAGGTTTTCAATCATTCAAAAACTGTATCAACTTGGAGTTCTTGTTCTTCAATTCCGAAAGTTTGACAACACTTGGTAGTGGAGCATTTGAAAACTGTCCATCTATGCTTAAATGTGGAACTATTACTTGTCCAAAGAAAGTCAAAGATTTGTTCTTGAAAAACGGATTTCAAGCAAAATGTTTTAATATTGATTGTCCAGTGGACAAACAATGCACGCAGCAGTGTAGGCCATTTAGTCTACCGCCTTTTGCTGTTTTTATTGCTATGGAATTATAAAAAATTAAATTATAATACTATTTGAAAATCCTTATATTTTTAAAATACCAACAGTAGTAGTAAGCATTTCAGTTGCTTGAGCTTGATTAATTATTTCCAATTTCAAATTATCTTCAGTGTAATAAACCACTATATCTTATGCATTAATCACGAATCGCATTGCATAAGAATTTATCTTTTTGGTATGCTGTAGACATATTTGTCATTATCAAATCTAAATTTAATGCCCAATGATCAATTTTTGGAATTTCATGCGAGGAATAAAATATTGTTATAAAATAGTAATTCTTTATCGTAATAAAATTTAATAATTTCTATTCATTATGTTGAAAAATTAAAATTAATTTCAATCTGACATTGATTTTTCCAAATTTTTTTTGTTTTTTAAAATTTCAATGAAGATTTCTAGAACATGATATGGATTTTCTAGATTTTGAAAAAATTTTGGAATTTCATACAAAAGCAGGAATCATCTATGGCTTTTAGGCTTTGGATTTCCGTGAATAAATTTGTAATTTTAGAGGAATTTGGGATCCAATTTAAAAATGTGCACAATAGCAAACAAATCATATACGCCATATCACTTCTCACAAAAAATAAATACGAAACAATGCAATATTTTTTCAAAGGATCAAACAATACTCATAACATTCGAATTCATACCAAAAAGTTCTGCAAATGACAGCAGAAAACTTATCACAAGTCTGTGTTAAAAGTTTTTTGCATGAATTTATACCAACTGTCGACTTAATTTTCTAATATATTTTTTTCGATTTCCTAAGAAAATATTAGTTATTGTTTATTTATAATACATGGAGAGATAGATTTTGATTTCATCGAGATTAATGCTCCATTTGTATGAAATATTTCGATTATATTTGATATGTTGTTAGTTTTTAAAAAATAAAAAGAGATTGTAATTACACAAACAAAACTAATCTTTTAATTAAGTTTAGAAACCATAGAGTGTCTTGCCCTGTCTCTTGAGAGCGTAGACGACATCCATTGCTGTAACTGTTTTACGACGAGCGTGTTCTGTGTATGTAACTGAGTCACGAATGACGTTCTCGAGGAAGTGACGAAGGACGCCACGAACTTCTTCGTAGATATCACCGGAGATACGCTTGACACCACCACGACGTGCGAGACGACGAATGGCTGGCTTTGTGATACCCTGAATGTTCTCACGCATTACCTTACGATGGCGTTTAGCACCACCCTTACCAAGACCTTTACCACCTTTACCGCGGCCGGACATTATGAAATAATGAACAAAAGAAAACTGAAAATAATACCGCCAACTTTAATTTTATTGTCATTTTACACCCAATAATTTTGTATTATTAAAGTTTACATCTTCACAAATTTAATTGAGCTTAATTTGGCAAAAAGTAAAAATGGCGGGGAAGCATAGAAAAATATTGAGAGGAAAGAAAAATCATTTTTCATCAATCATGGCTCGTACAAAGCAGACAGCTAGAAAGTCAACTGGTGGCAAGACCCCACGTAAGTCCCTTGGTGCCAAGGCCGCCCGCAAGTCAACACCAACAATTGACTCACAAGGTGCCAAGAAGCAACACCGTTTCCGCCCAGGTACAGTTGCTCTCCGTGAAATCCGTAAGTACCAAAAGTCTACAGATCTTCTCATCCGTAAGCTCCCATTCCAGCGTCTCGTCAGAGAAATCGCTTCTGGTTTCCGTGGTGATCTTCGTTTCCAGTCATCAGCCATCGCAGCTCTTCAGGAAGCATCAGAAGCATACCTTGTTGGTCTTTTCGAAGACACCAACCTTTGTGCTATCCACGCTAACAGAGTTACAATCATGGAACGTGATGTTCAACTTGCTCAACGTATTCGTGGTGAGCGTAACTAAACTGTGTTATTTGTATTGTATTTTAAAATTAGAATATTTTTTAGAATCTAATCTTCTTTACAAGATCTTGCTGTTATCCTTGAATGTTTTCTTGCTCAAAGGTATCTATTCTGGCAGGAACTTATACAAGCTAGCTTTGATTTATCTGGAAAATACAATATGTCGTTTGCTCTGATCAAAAAATGTCTATGGACAATGCGCGAAATTTCGCTATGAAAGAAGCTTCACACATCATCGAATTATCAGAAAAAGTAGAGAAAATAGAAAACATAGACACAAGCAATGAATATCATATCTTAGTTGCAGAGCTAAGAAGTCATTTTAATAATATCAATGGATTATTATCAGCATTAAAGTCATTTGATGACGATGAATCAAAGCAAATGATAGAAAAACTCAATCAGGCAAAAGAAAAACTCGAGGAAGTCGAAGTAAATTCCCCACTTGAAAGCGAAGATGATTTTATCGATCAAAACTTAATGTCTTCTGATGTCGATTTGGAAATAGATGGAGCTATTACAAATAATAACAACAAACAAGTTAAGCGTTATAATTTTTCAATTGTAATAACAGTCATAATCTGTTTCATAGGTTGCATTATCTGGTTCTTTGTTCTTCAATAAATCATTTGATGCATTATAATTCTACACTACTTGTTCTTAAATATTAATTATTTATAATATTATAATTTTTTATTTTATTCTACATAGAAAACAATGTATTTGATCTCACAAAGTTATGTATATATAAATTCTAAGAAGTTTAGAGTAGTAATTTCATATTTTATGATTCAAATGTAAAATTTTACCAATTTTATAGCAGAATAATATAATTTGATTTATGCATATACTAACAATTCTAATAAGGTATCTAAAACTTGTCCTTGTTGTATTATAACACATTTTTTATCTAAATGAGATGTTGGAAATTGAAAATAATAATATTGAGTTGAGTTTTCATGACAATTTTAGAAGTACATGTGATTACAAAGAGAAAACATATAATATTGCTCATGGAAATCAAGTATTTAACGACTTTTGTTGCACCAAAATTGCTTTAATTCAGAATAATGAATTATCGAAGATAGAAGATTTCAACATATATCTTGGATTCTTCAATTAAATATCTTCTCTTCAACAAGCAAATCTACCCTCTATATAGTTTAGAATTTTAGAAATTTCAATTGAACTGATGTAAATCATCTTAGAAATATGAATATGATTCAAAAAAGAGATGGGGAATAGGATATTCAATATGTTTTACTATAAAACAACGAATATTATAAAATATGAAGTACCAATTCATTAATTTTATTCATTGGGATTTATTATATTTGATTTTGATTAAATCCAGAATCGCTATCTTTCTTCTTATTCTTTCTTGATGAAACAAAAAACATAACGAAGAATCCAATTAATACGAAGAAAAGAAGTATCGTTATCACAATCAAAGTGATTTCTAATGTTGTCAATCCATTGATATGTCTCCATTTGGACTTTGAGATATAATTCTTTGAATTACAATTCTGTCCTAAAATTTCTTTATCAAACATCATATTTGATGGATATTTGTCACTTGCGTCATATTCTGTCGGGATTTCAGCACTTGATGATATTTCACCATAATCTTGCCCTAGAAGATATGTACCTTTATAACAAACTAGTTTAATTCCAAGAATTTCATTTGGAATTCCATTCACAAATGATTCAGGAAGAATTACAATGTTTGGAAGTTTATCATAATTTTCATAAAACTCGCCTCCAAAACCATCATTTGCTTTTTCCCACTTTTGATTTAATGTTATAGAATTGATCTGCTCAATCTCATCTGGAATTTGAATTGTTTTTGGCAATTCACCAAATGAACATATTATTGCATTGTCAACTCTTCTAATAATGAAGTTATCTTTGATATAATATACGGGATGGTCTTTATCAATTGTCACTTGTATATAAGGAACTGCTTCAAAGCATTTTACATTTATCTGAGTAATGTGTGATGGAATATGAAATTCACTTATTGAAGATAGTTTGAATAAGTTGTTTAGAGTTGTTATTCCCTTTCCAATTGTTACAGATTTTAGATGTGAGCAATTATAGAAAACATTCTCTCCAATTGATCTTACTGAATCAGGGATGTCAAATGTTCTTAAATAAGTTTGTTGGAAAGCATATCCATCTATTGATATTAGATTTGATGATAATTTAATTGAATAAAGATGAGTACATTGACTTAAAATTGATTTTTCTAATACATTTATCATTGATAAATCGATTTCTTGCAACGAAATGCACTTCTCAAATGCATTTGCGCCAATCGATTTGACACTAGCTGGTATATCAATTGATTCCAAACTTGTGCAATTATAAAATGCATGCTTACCAATCAGATAAACTTTGTTAGGTATTGATATCTTATTTAGAGAATAACAATTGTAAAATGCTTGATCATTTATTGTTAAAGTATTTGGAGGAAGTTCTATTTCTTCTAAAGAAACATCGTTTTGGAATGATTGTGAATCTACTGAATCCACAAGTATTTTTGATGGAAATGTAATTTTCTTCAAACAGGGAATATTTGACAAAGAATTTGTAATCGAAAATGAAACGTTTTCTATTATGATTTCTTTCAGATTTTTCGCAAAAAGAAATGCATTTGGTGCAATTGTTGAATATTGAGATGGAATTGTAATTTTCTCTTCTTTCAAAAATGATGATAATGATAAAATTACTCCATGCTTGTTAATGATAAATCCATTTTCAGAAATGATATTCTTTCTCGGAATAGTAAACTCAAATGTTGCATTAACGCAGTCATAATAGGCTGTTGTATCAAATTTCTTTGATGTATTACTTACTATAATTTTTGTTAGGTATGTGCAATTCTCAAAGCAAAATTCATCAACATCATTCACAATAACTTTTTGGATTTTAGAAGATTGAAATGCATGATGAGACACCGTTTTGAATAAGGTCAAATCAACTTCCTTGATTGCGCCTGTGTATGAAAATGCATGATCATATATTCTTCGTTCGATTGGGCTGTCATTGACACTAATGAATTGAATATCTTCCAAATTTGAGCAATTGCAAAATGCATTTTGATAAATTACAAAATAAGATATTTGATCATTATAATCATCATCTTCTTCATCTTCATCTTCGTCTTAATAATCAAATTCACGTGTAACAATGTTGTAATTAAAATCATATTCATTATTGTTTTCTTCATTGCTACTACTATCAGGAATTGGATAAATCTTAATGCTTTTCAGGTTGCAACAATAATGAAATGCTGAAGTTCCTATTTCTTGTGTATAAATGGATAAACTTGTAATACTGTGACATCCTGCAAAACAATAATGATTAAACTTAAGACAATAAATACTTGATGCTTTAATTTTCTTGCAATAGAAAAATGCTTTTTCTCCAATCATTATTGGTGTTGTTGAATCATTTGTTGTTGGAGATATCTCATATACCAAATTTTTGCAATAAGCAAATGAGTTTGATCCAAATTCGGTCACACTACCAAATGTTACCGCTTTCAGATTCTTGCAAAAATAAAATGCATTTTCTTTTATTACTGTAGCGCCTGGTGCATTAACGGTTTCCAAACTATAGCATTTGGATGCGAAAAACTCTGAGAGTTGTGAAATTGAATTTGAAAGAGTAATTGTTTTCAGTATAAAACATTCTTGGAACAAGTTTTGAATTGAAACTTTATCTGGAATATCAATCTTTTTCAGTTGTGTATTCGAAAAAGCATTAGATTTTATTGTAATATTAGTAGTTCGTTCTTCAAATTCAATTGATTCAAGCAATGAGAATTGAAAGGCTGAAGCTCCTATTTCAGTGCATTCTTTTGGGATTGTTAGTTTTTTCAACGATGTTTTTTGAAAAGATGAAAGACCGAAATCAGTAACAGTTCCAAATTCAAACTTTGACAATGATATGCATTCATAAAAAGCAAATGGTTTTATAACAGTTGCATTTTTCATTATTACGCTTTCCAGTTGTAAACAGTTATAAGCGAAACTATTTGGAACTTCTGACAAGCCATTCATTGAAATTGTCTTTAAATAAAGACAATCCTCAAATACATTTGTACTAGCAGTCATGATACTATCTGATTGAAATTTTTCTATTCTTGAACTTTTAAATGCTTCATCACCTATTTCATTAATAGAACTGGAAATAACAATTTCTTTGAGGAAAATATCTGTATTCGCAAAGCATCTATCTCCAATTTTCTTAAAAAAGTTTCCTTTTATTTCGATTTTTTCTGCCAGTGAGTAATATGATTGGGATTCTAATTCTGTATTTGAATCATCACTATTGTCGTTGATATCAATAATGATTGATTTTATATTGTGTTCTTTCATAATTTGAGAAATCATTTCTGAATATGAGTAATCTGTTAAGCTGTTTATTATTATAACTTTGTCTTGAACAATGGGTTCCGAATTAAAAAAGATTTTCCTAATTAGTAGAGTCATAATCATTAGATTCCCCTTGAACATTTGGAAATTTTATCTCAATAAGAAAACTGTCAAATTAATTCAATAAATCATGTCAGGGATTTCAATCTATGCATAAAAAAGCAATAACTATATTCTTAATCGATTTATGAAAATTATTTTTCGATTCATATTTTCTTTCAAATGATCAAATTCAAAAATGCACAAGCCTTCATTGAATGGTAAAATTATGCCAGTTTTAATGAGGTCAATTAGTCATACGAGCATGATACATGAAAATAAACGTTATTTCACTTCCGGAAATGCCTTGTTTTCAAGTAAAAACGTGAATGTAAATTTGTATAAATTGAAATTTTGTGAGTACCTCAAATTTGAAAGTGATGTAAGTCGTCAATATTTCTAACCTTGTCGAATGATATATCTTAGAACGCAGTATTCATTTTTGCCTAGCTATTGAACAATGTTAGCATTCTTCAATCCAATTAATGAATTATAGCTTGAGAGATTGTAATCTAATTTAGAAACGTAAGATTATTCTACATTATCTGATTAGTACACGTTGTTACCATGTTGATAACTCACTAAAATGGTCCTGAAAATCAAATAATATTTCTTTACATGATGTGGGAATAATTTTCTAACAAAAAAAAATTTATCATCAAATGAATGAATCGGAAGAGGTCAAAGTGATCAATTTCGGAATATTTGATGATTTCACAATGTCTAAAGGAAGCATGTGCTTTCATTCAGTACTAAAAATCAATGAATTTGAGTACTTATCATGCGCCCCGAAACAAATCATCAAATTCGAAAGAGATAGAATCAAGAAAATATACAATATTCCATCAGCATGCGCAACGTACTTACCATATTATGATGCAATTATCATAATTTCGCCACCTCCAACAAAAATGTCAATTTATTTTGGCGATCAGTTAAATGAACCGATCATTCAAGATATAAATATCGATCAAGTAGGTATTTGCCACATGGTATGGTCAGAAAGAAATCGTACACTCATCACTTTTGGAATTGGAGTTTCAACTTATTTGATTGAAATGGTTCCAAAAATAAATAGAATTGCTAAATACGATATATGGGCACGTGTGACATTTCTAAAGCACTTTGCTATTGGATATCGAGCAAATTTACTATCAAATCCTTGCTGGATTGAAACAAAAAACGAATTAGTTATACCATTGAAAGAGGGACTCATGAGATACACTCTTGATGGAGAAATGAAAGGATCTCCTGTCTCTTTAAATTCCGATAAATTTACTTTATATTTATACAATGAACACAATAAAAAAGCATTAACAAGTGATGCAGACCAAGGGTTATGTCTATGGAACAAACATGGCCGTATGACTCATCACTATACTTGCATTTCAACTCCAATTTTCGTCGCTTTTTATTTAACAAACGAATTTCTCATTGCATACGATTCCTCTATGTACCTAAGCATCATAGACATCAAGACAGAGCGATATTTCCCAATGGTTAAGCTCTATCCCCGGCCAGACAAGATTTTCTTTGACAGATCTTACGGACAAACCACAAGAGTCATTGTTTCATCGCAAAACTCAGTCAAAGTATACAAAGTGATCATTCCATGGCACCTGTGGAAGCGAACGAGCACAACTCCTAAATTAATTCTAAGATGTCCACGCGCAAATGGAGCAGCGCGAATTGGTGTTCTTCTAAGTGATGCTTCCATCCAATTCTACTCCCCTGTATCCAGAAAAATGCTCACTCTCTGCCACGCAAGGGAAGTTGGCTTCCCCTCTTGCATTTTACCAGACAGAGGAATGCTGAATGTCGTACAAAGAGATCAATTATTTGTCACTTTTGATAATGGCAAAACCGCCATTTTTGGGACTAATCAACCTCTTTTAGAACCTGTTGTTACTTTGGATAACAAAGCTGCATGTTGTGTTTTGTCGATGTTCCAAGGGAAGTGGTGTTTGTTGATAGGAACAACAACAGGAGATATTTTAGTTTATTCATATGACAAGCTGCAATTTATAAAGAGGTTTGGAAAGGAAAGATCGAAAGTAGAACAGATTTATCACCACGACAAAACAAACTCGATTTTCGTGGTATACAAAAATAAGTTCTCTAGATATGACTCTGTCTCTGGAACGAAAATGGAAGACTACAGTTTTGAGTATGGTTGTATTGGAGCTGTTTTGGGAGATTTGCTGATTTTTGGTTATGAAAATGGAAGTTTTTTGATTCACAAAATTGAATGTAAAAAACTGACATGTTTACATCATAAAGGGAGGCCATTACACATTGGAAGAGTGACAGGACTGACAGGTGGAAACTCATTCTTCGTGTCGAGTGGCTTAGATGGGAGTTGCTTGATTTGGACAATGAAAAATTGCGAAGTTGTAATCGAAATCAAATTTCCTTTGCCTATATTTTGTGTCGCATTTTTGAATGGAAAGAGAGGTTTGTTGGTTGGAACTGACTCAGAGATTATGATTGTCAATGGGCAGAGTCTTTTCGGAAAGAATGTTGATCCTGAAGATCCTTTATTTGATAATTTTGACAAAAAAGTTGACACGTTTGATGGTGGAGCATTAACATTATTGGAAGATGAAAATGACAACTGCGAAGAAGATGATTTGGGCTTCTTAGACCAAATTTCCGCCAGAGCAAGAAAAGAAAGAGAAGAACAAGAAAAATTGATGTCAAATTTGCCGATAAACACTAACTGGTCGGACAAAATTCCTGATGTCAGGGAAGTAACTGTTAAAAAGTCCGACACAAAGAATAAGAAAGAACTAACAGAAGAAGAACTCAATGCATTAAAAGAAATCAATGAATTAAATGGAGAAAACAATTCAAATTCTAATTCCAATTCTAATACAAATAATAAGGATGGAACTAATGGCAAAAACAAATCATCTAAAAATGATGATGAATATGAGGAAGATTACGAAGAAGATGAAAATGAAAATTTGGCTGCAAATGCAGCTAAAAATTCTAAAAATCAAAATGAAAATGATGATAAAAATAAAAGTGACAAAAACGATAATGACGATAATAAAAACATGAAATTGAACAGTACAGAAGATTTAACATTATCCAAAGATTTGTTCAAAACATCAGAAAGCGACGATGATAGGTCTGCTCTGCAAAATAACTCAAATTTAAACCAAAAAGTATCTTATATTTTGCCAAAGACAATAAAAAATGGTTTGCAACAGCCATCATCAAGATATAACAAAAGTCTTGATTCCAAAAATAAAAGTGAAAGTCTGTCAAAAGCCAACAAATCCAAAAAAGGCGGAAATTCTTCTTCGGACGATGATTCCGATGATGATGACTCAGAAAAAATGAAATCAACAAATAATAATATAAATTCAGGCACAAATAATGATAAAAGATCATCTAAAAACAGAAATGGAAGTTCATCACCAAAATCTAAAAGGAAAAACAAAAAGACAAAGAACAGTAGTTCAAACACTGATAATAATTTCTCATCAAATGCAGTGAATTCTTCTAACAACAAAAAATTTGAAGATGATTTAGATGGTAGAAAAAGCGCAAGAAGACAGAAAAATACTTTGACAGAAAGTTATAACTCTTCGAGAAGAAACATAGCTAGTTATGAAGATTCCAATTTGATGTCAAGAGTTATAGAAAATGACAAAATTCCTGAGTATCCAAATGTCGCAATCAGACCGAGAAGCCCTAGAAAAGTTTATCTGAAAGAGAAAAGCAAAATACTGCCAGATTTTAATGCGGCAGAACATTTAGCTCCACAGATCTATTTTGATAGAGATACAATCACTAAACTGATCGAAGAAGAGAAACCAGAGAATTTGACCGTGATGAGAAAACTCTCCTGTTTCAATCAAAGTTTAGGAGATTTCGATGACAATTCAAAACATTTTGTTTTGTCAAAACCGAAAAATGTTTTTGGAACTTCTGAAACAGAGAATGGAGAGTTTGTAACTGTCCTTCCTTTGAAAGAAGACCCACCTCCTTTAATCGAAGTTCCTCCTTTTATTCAACAGGACAGAAATGAACCAAACTTCATTATTCCTCCTGTAGAAGAAGATATTCCAGCTTCTTCAAAAGTTTATCCACCATGTCCAAGTTCTCCAAGAGGACAAAGACCTCATTCGCCATCAGTGAGAAAACGAAGAGAATTCTTGAATACATTGACAACAGCAGCAGAAACAAACCAAAATGTTCCTGCAAATGATTTTCAGAAACCAAAAATCATAAATCCATCAACAAGTATCGGAAAAACAAGGTTTGGCTCTTTAGTCAAACTTTTTAGCCAAGTTCACAAAAAGAAAAATAGAAATTCCATGAAATCTTTTGTTTGATATTATAAAATTTAATTTTGTTTGTATTTTACTTAAATGGACTTAATTTTTATTCAACAGAAAGCTTCAAGTGCAATTGCAAGCTCCTTACAAGATACTTTTGCAAAATTATTGATAAAAATAACTTTAAAACTTTTCAAAGAGATGATTTAATACAATAACACACATTGATATTGCATGACGAATTGTCGCTCTCAATCCGATATACATTAAACGTGATTGAAAATTTCAATTTCATATTAAAGATATTCTTTCATGCATTAATGATATGTAACCCAAAATGACCAATTAAATCGAGTTCAAGATGTGTTTAAGGATGATAAGGACTTCGCAACTATGAATTTGCTAAATTGAGTACAATCCTCAGTAAATCTGTGTTTAATAGGAGATACTATGTAGAAAATAACAAAAGAAGCAGTTTATTCTGATGTTATCATATTACTTATCGTTGATCAAAAGATCAGTACAAATTTCATCAATGGATAAATATACAGCACCATACTTAAATATAACATGTCACCAATCAGTAAGAGTGCACTTTTGCATAAGTTTCATTATATAAAGGTTGCAAAAAGACTATTGAATTAAATTTCAGTATGAAAATTCAGAAATAATTTAAATGATTATAATTCCCAATATCCTTTAACCAACTCCACTTAAATGGAATGATTTAATTATTGATAGGTATCAGAAATCCAATCAAAAAAAATCCAAAATGAAATGTGACAATTTTTTTATCCAAAAAGATAAAACGGCCAATCATACAAATTATTGTCTAATAATCTATTAGTAATTATATTATAGACGAATGTAATCGAAATTCCGATATTTACTTTTCTTATTGACCCACGTCACTTTTAGACTATTTCCTCACAAAATGAAATTGAATTTGTTGTAATGCTTACAGTTTTGTATGTCTCAAAAAAATGAATAAAGAACGATTGATAAAAATTGTCTTTTCAATAGTATTCATAAATTGAATACTTCTCAAATTAAATACTTATGTATGATGATCTTTATATTGTTTTAGGCGTAGATAGAATGGCAACAAAGGAAGAAATAAGAAGAAAATACAAGCAACTAGCTCTTGAATGCCATCCAGATAAAAATCCTGATAATGCAGAGTTTTATACTAAAAAATTCGCCGAGATCACAAATGCTTACAAGGTATTGATAGATGACAATGATAGGAGGATTTACGATTCAACAGGCTCGTTACCTGGAAGGAAATCTCCTACCAGAGGCTCTCACACACCTAATTCAAGATCTCAATTAGATGACTTGTACGATAGGTTCTATGGACCTTCGTGCACATCTAATAATTCATCTGAAATTCCGTCAAGGGTTAAGACAATGCCTCAGAGAAATGCTTCTTGTCCCATCAATTCAAATGAAAATATAGGACAAAAATTTGGAACTGACTCTTTTTATAACCACTCAAAAGAAAAACAAAATTCATCCTCTTCTCTTCAAGACGAACCAGACAAATTTGGCGAAAAAACATCCAACTCTTTTATAGGCCCAATTAATGTAAATGTCCACTGTTCACTAGAGGACATACAAAATGGATCAAGCAAAGTACTCAAAGTTACAAGATGCCGTGAAGGCATAATTGAAACAAAGAGCTGCACGATATCTTTATACCCAGGAATTGAAGATGGAACAGAAATTGTTGCAACTGGACAAGGAAATAAACTTGTTAATAAACTGCCAGAAAATATTGTATTTAAAATCGTTCAGGATCCACATCCAAGGTTCAAAAGATCAGGTAATGACCTTCAAGAAACAATTCATATTAGTTTAAAGGAGGCTCTTCTTGGGTTCACATTGAAAACAATAGGAATTGATGGCAAAGAAATAACTAAAAATGTTATTGGACCTATTGACTCAGGATACAAAGAAGTTATTCCTGATAGCGGAATGACAATTGCTAAAACAGATCAGCGCAGAAATTTGATTGTAAAAGTTCTGGTAGATTTTCCGAATGCATTATCACCAGAACAGATACAAGCTATTCAAACATTCTTTTAATTTGTTGTTTATTTTGAATGTAAATGTTTATATGTTTATTATTGCTTATTTGGTAATCCTGTTTCAAAAAGCAACTTAACTGATAATGGAACTATTGGTTTGAAAGCTTCTAGTGTATGGAAATAATATGAAACTATGATTGTGGTTGATTGTTGCCTATGAAACGATAAGAGAACATTTTTTAGGCAAAATCATCATTTACATAATCAATAGCTATCTTTTAATGGAGCCGAATTTAATGCAGTTCATAATGAAAATAATTTTTTTTCTATTTATAGCTGGATTGTCATTAATTTGCTCAATAGTTTAGGATTTAAAATTCTGATGCATTTTTATATATTAGGGTCTATTACCATTAGACTTTTATGATTTGAACAATTCCACCGAAAATTCGTTCCAAAATTTTATCTGCTTTTTTGGGATAAATATATTGTATGCATTAGTGCGATTTAAAATATCACATTAGTACTAATAATTTTCGAGCGACCAGTTTTCTTCTGAAATAACACATTGTTTAGAATGGATCGGCGATATTATTTCAGATATCTTTTCCATTGAGAGTTGTTTGTTCAGAAAAATTGCAAGTACCTTCACAAAATTTTTTATATTTTAATGTGTTAATTTTAATTAACAGTGCAAAACTATAAATTCTTTTTTCAATTCACAGAAATTTCCTCAAAAGTAGATTTTGCCCTTATTTATTCTACAAATAGCTTAGATGATATGTGAACATATTTAATTCATTATTTTTTCTATTATCTCAAATTATATTTTTCTGAAGTACAAAAATTTTATCAGTTTTCATTAGATGAGCATAAACACTGAAAATCCTTATGACGACACAAACCACGTCAATCACTTCGAGCTATCGGCTGTAAGCGAAGAAGAAGCTGATGATTTATTAGCTCGATTTTTCTTAAATCAACCTCAAGGTTTCTTCAAAAAACCAATTGACATCGCAGTAGCAATTAAATCAGCATACTATCATCATTTATCTATTCACAAATCAATGAAAACAACACAGCCTAAATCAGTTGTTTCAAAATTTGCGGCAAACCTTTTCAATTATTGTCCTGATCTTCATCCTTACATAAACCAAATACCTGAAATGTTCCTTCAGCTTCGTAAGTCACATCAAAATTTATTAACTTGCGGTGCAATTTGCCTGAACAAAGACTTAACAAAAGTCTTAGTCATTGCCCATACAATCACTCCAAATCAATTTGCTTTCCCAAAGGGCAAAATAGATGAAGGAGAAACTCCTTTACTAGCTGCAATTCGTGAAACAGAAGAGGAGGCCAATTTCGATGTATCTCCTTATATTCTCGAAAATTATAGCTTCCGCTATAAAAGAAAGAGTCGCGCTGATGGAGTTTTCTTTTTTGCTACAAATGTGCCTGAAGTTGAACTCAAGCCATCTCTTCCTGCAGAAATCTGTAAGATAGGATGGGTAGATATCAACACTCGGAAAAGCGATGATGGCTACAGTTGGCAGCCAGATGGACCAACATCGTTGATATTAGAAGATCAACTTCCTGCTTTTATCGAAATGCAAAAGTTGAAGAATAATAGTGAGTATATTATTCAATTGTAAGTATCTAAATAAAATTCCCATGATGCGAAAAAACATTTTTATTGAGTAAACATTTCGAATGAGAGAATTCATAATTTGTATATCAATTTAGCAATTAACTTGGCCGGAAATTGCTTGAGGGTAAACATTCAAGCAATGATATAAAATGAGTTTTTTATTGTTCCCGTGATAATTCAACATTTGAATGCATTTTAGAATGGAGACGGATGAATTAATAAAAAATCGATGAAAATAATTTATAAAGATTCAGGCTGATTTCATGTTTCTTATTTGATCTCATCATAAAAATCGAAAATTGAAAAATTAAACGTCAGAAATTTCATATGGAGCGTTTTGCTAACGTAGAAAGAAGCTTAAATGAACTTCGGATGCTCATTTTAAACTATGCTGAGGGCAATATTTTAGAATCCGACAAAACTCCTGAAATTTCTTTCGAAGAGGAAGAAACTCAATCAAATTCAAGTGAGTCAATACAATCGATTGCATCATTACCAAAAAGTCCAAGATCATCTCCACGTCCTAAATCTACACAGAAGAGCCCACAACAGGAAATCAGTTCTAAATTTGAAACATTTTTAGAAAAGAAGTACAGTCAGAGTCCACAATCATCACCACGTAGAGAATCTTTTGACACATGGAAAAAACAATTGTTGAAAGGACAAAAATCATCATCAGCCAGTAAAACATCTTCTTCAATCATTGAAGATTATGTTTCTCCTGAAGCAAGTGACAGCAGTAACTCATCATTACCTTCCAATGGAGTAAATTCTTCACAAGCAGTTGGTTTCGAAAACAATTCTGATAATGAAGATCTTCAAATTCAAACTTCAAAGCAGAATAGTAAGCTTAAGGTCGATAAAATTGACACTAAACCTAATAGGCAATCTTTACCACCAATTTCACCAATTCCAAGAAATTCCAAGTCAATTCCAAGTTCAACATCATCATCTAATGCTATTGAAATATCCTCATCTTCTAAGCAAGATCAGCCTTCCGATCTCACTCCTTTATCTTCTGTTGAAAACATTATCGAAGATGATCCTCAAATGGGCCAATTCAAAGAAAAGCTTGAGCTCTCATTCCAAGCCAAATCACCACATAGTGCAAAAGCTCCGAAATCAGAACTAAGCGATTCAAATTCTGGCTCAATTAAATCTAATTCAGATTCCAACAACCAAAGTTCAAATGAAGAAGAATCCCAATCTTTAGATAATGATTCTAAATCATTGAATGTTCCGATAAGCTCATCAAGTGATAAATGCCAGTCATTTGATGATGAAGAAGAGAAAGATGAGCTGGATTCACATGATTCAAAGTCTGGTGAAGAATCAAGTGAAAAAGCAGAAACATATCAATTAGAACTCCCTGAAGAAGAGGAAGAATCGCAAGAACATGAGGATGACCATGAAGAATCAACAGATCCAGAACTTGAAGCACTTAAGGAGCACCTTGAGAAAACTAATTTAACAAAAGATCCTTCTGCAAACGAGTTCCAACATTCATCTCATGAAATTTCTGATCCTTTCAATATAAAAAAGGTAATTAATGAAGAGGAAGATGAGTTAGGATCACCAGAGCCGTTACCTGATCCAAAAGACATAAGTGATGACACAGAGTCTTTTGGAAAATCTTTTGACGAAAAACTCAACGAATTCTTGAATAGTCACGACTCGTTAGACTCCTATGACTATGAAGATATTTAGATTTTTGTTTATAAAAATGTAATTTTATTGAAATTTGACTTTTTTTTTTCAAAAATTCATTCATTAATATTCTAATACTTACGAAATTTCCTAAACTTGAGTCAATATTGTGGAATTGAAATGGAAAAAAAAAGTCCTAATTTTTAAAATACAATACAAATAACACAGTTTAGTTACGCTCACCACGAATACGTTGAGCAAGTTGAACATCACGTTCCATGATTGTAACTCTGTTAGCGTGGATAGCACAAAGGTTGGTGTCTTCGAAAAGACCAACAAGGTATGCTTCTGATGCTTCCTGAAGAGCTGCGATGGCTGATGACTGGAAACGAAGATCACCACGGAAACCAGAAGCGATTTCTCTGACGAGACGCTGGAATGGGAGCTTACGGATGAGAAGATCTGTAGACTTCTGGTACTTACGGATTTCACGGAGAGCAACTGTACCTGGGCGGAAACGGTGTTGCTTCTTGGCACCTTGTGAGTCAATTGTTGGTGTTGACTTGCGGGCGGCCTTGGCACCAAGGGACTTACGTGGGGTCTTGCCACCAGTTGACTTTCTAGCTGTCTGCTTTGTACGAGCCATGATTGATGAAAAATGATTTTTCTTCCCTCTCAATATTTTTCTGTGCTTCCCCGCCATTTTTTCTTTTTGCCAAATTGGACCATTTCCGTTTTTGAAATATGATTTTTTACTTATACAAGTTTTACTTGGAGTAAAATGCCAAATACTATAGTCAATTGCGAGTCATAATGGATTGAGTATTCATCATTTCCATCAGATTCAACACACCTGCCACTGAATTTCTTAGTGTTCAGCACTTCATATCCAAGAAGCTTTTGCATTCTCAGACTGAATCAAATTTGTCATATTTAGTTAAAACTCATCATTGGATAATAAAATTGGAGTAAATGTGAATTAAATCGTGAGCTCATGGCGAATATAGAATCACAATTTGCTCCAAGTAGATGGCAATTATTATCTCAATTATTATTATTTCCGATGACATATTGAATTTTATAATTTTTTGAGAGGGCAACGGAATTATTAATAAATATCTAAATCTACAATTTCGAAATTCTTTTGAAGTAAGGTTGATACTCACATTTAATTTGAAAACTCATATCGGAAAAAAAATTGACATAATATGGAATATCTCCAATCCTGGTCAGCTAGATACATCAAGGACCTCAAGGAAAACATACTCCCCTTCTGGTTAAAGAATGGCTTAGATAAGAAGCACGGAGGTGTTTACACATGCTTAGATCGCACTGGCAAACTCATGGATACAACCAAATCCGTCTGGTTCCAGGGCAGATTTGCATATGTCCTTGCTACAGCATACTCCCAGGTTGAGCAAAACCCAGAATGGCTTGCTGCCTGCAAGAGCTGCTTAGATTTCATCGATAAGTACTGCTTCGATTCCGATGGACACATGTACTTTGAGATCACAGATGATGGTAAGGGAATTAGAAAGCGCCGCTATGTCTTCTCTGAGAGCTTTGCAGTTGTTGCATATGCTGCCTACGCAAAAGCCGCTAAGGATGATGAATACGCCAAGAAGGCACTTGATCTCTTCAAGCGTATGCAGAAATTCCTCTCCACACCAGGATTCTTACCACCAAAGTGTGAATCTTGGGTTCATCAGATTGGACACTCAATCACAATGATCATGCTCAACACAGCTGCCCAGGTCAGAAAGGTCATTTCTGATCCATGCCTTGACAAGCAGATTGATGACTCAATCAAACTTCTCAAGGAGAAATTCATGAAGCCAGAATTCGAAGCTTTACTCGAAACAGTTGGCGAGAACGGCGAGTTCGTTGATACATGCTCTGGCAGAATTATCAACCCAGGCCATTGCATTGAAACAGCTTGGTTCTTGATCGAAGAGGCATGCTACAGAAACAGAGATCCAGAGATCATGAAGATGGCCCTTACAATCCTCGATTGGAGCTGGAAGTGGGGCTGGGATGAGCAATATGGTGGCATCATTAACTTCAGAGATTGCAAGAACTTCCCATGCCAGGATTACGCTCAGGACATGAAGTTCTGGTGGCCACAGACAGAAGCTATCATTGCAACACTCTACGCTTACTACGTTACCAAGGATCAGAAGTATCTTGACTGGCACAAGAAGATCAGCGACTGGACATATGAGAAGTTCCCAGATACAGAATGCGGCGAGTGGTACGGCTACTTGCACAGAGATGGCACTGTTGCTCAGAACGCAAAGGGCAACATTTTCAAAGGCCCATTCCATATCCCACGTATGATGATCAAGGCTCATGAGCTTTGCGAACTCATCATTAATGAAAAGAAGTAAGCTCAGATAGTAGCGTTTTTTCCTACTAAAAAATTCTTTTTCGAGTAATAAGTAAATTTAATGCATTACTTGCCATTTGTAATATATGATTGAGTCATTGGCCGTAGTTGTTAATTTGCTATTTCGTAAAAAAAGATTTATTTCAATAAGAATCAATTCGCATTATGATTAAAGAAGAATACTTCATTGATATGAATGATAATGTATAAGTAATACATCCCCATGCTCTATTTCGCTTGATTACTATATACCAAATGGAGAAATCTTTTCCTTAATTTCATCAAAAGTGACAAATTTTGTGTACGTTAAAAATTTGTTAGTAAATGAATGATATTCCACAATTAGATTTTCGCCCTAGGCCTCCTCAAAAATCATGCAGAAGGAATTCTGCTAGAAGACATTTATATGAATCTTCAGTCGTTCGTAAAGAAAACTGTAGTGAAAGAGTAAATTCAGCAAGAAGCAGGCCAAAATTATCGCAAAGAGAATTAATGGTTGTGAAATCAAACAAAGCTAAATACAATGCTTGGATTAAGAAATGGGATAGGGATCAAGGCATAAAAAGATTTCTTATGCTAAAAGATATTGTCGATAAATGCAAAGGATATTCAAAAAATCAACTTGACGAATTATATGGAAATGCAAGTGAATTAGTTTTCATGAGAATTTTTGTCTTTATTCGTTGGAATTGTCGATCTACAATTTCAATTGACATTCAACTTCAAGCATTACGAATATTTTTCGATGCATCATCAGGATTCTGCTATTCAGAACACTTCCTTAAGAATGGTGGAGTTGACATATTACTTTCCTTTCTCGAATTAAGAGATGAAATTTCCGAAAATGATCTATCTGAAGTACTTAAAACATTTCTGTCACTATCTCAACAAGGAGCACATTCAGTTCAATACATTTTAGATACGAAATTCTTGACAATTTTCTTAGATACGTTACCTTCATTTAAAGATGAAGAAAATCTCAATCTCGCTACAATGTTATTACTCCAACTGAGTGAAGGTAATGATGCATATGCCGAGACATTTACTCTTGCTTTGATGTCAAGATTTCACGCTTTATCATCAGACGATGAAGCTCTTCACTCCGTTTCTCACGTATTTCGAGTGCTTCTAACACCCAAAATTGCTGCAGAAGTCGACATAAAAGGGAATTACAATGATTTGTTAGCTTTAGGAAGCAGCTCAAATTTAGACATCAGATATGATGGCGTCATAGTGTTCTCATTGATTGCTGAAAACACTACTAAACTAAGAAGAGATTTTATTTTTGATAATCTTCTTGAAATTTTGTTAAACCCTCTTGGCATAACGAATGAGCTTATATCTCGTAGACAAACATTTGCAACAAAAGTGTTGCTTACAATCACAAAGCAGAACGGAATCGCTGGATTGACTCTGAAAGAAGATTTTGAGAGATTTTTAGTTCCTCTCTGCAAAATCATCGGAAACACAGTCAACTTCAGTGCGCAGAAATCTTCTGCTAAGATAATCACGCACTATTATTGTGATGATCCTCACATTAAGACTCTACTTGAGAATGCAATCCCAACAGACTGGATTAGAAATTTGACTCTCGATCCACATACTTTCTGCCTGAACATCAATCAAATTCAAGCAGATTTCTTCTTATCTCTTGAGCCTGAAAGCTTTTTGATTGATGTCTCTGCAAAACAGACACAGATCAGAAAGGCAACAACGAAAGCGCGTCTAGAACTAAAGCATAGAACTCAACAACAAGGACAATATGGTTCTATTATCAAACCAACTATTGCACTCAGAGAATCACCATTTAGATTTAATGTGACAACTAATGTTGATTTAAATGCTCTTTTCCAGCAATAGCTAGCGCTAGAATATTAGTTATCATATGCTATTTTTGAATGATTTTATTTTATTTTTGTTTTACTTTTAAATATTGTTTGTATTTTTCGATCAATTGGCATCATAGTTACTATTTTCAATTTCCCATCTTATAGTCTCTCGAAATTATTATCCTTTTTTTTTAATAATAATGTAATTTCATTCATAGGAATTCTATATGTTGGAGGCAAGAAGGTTATCATAATGACTTATTTGTGCAATACAAGAAAATTTTTATTTTAATTGTTTTCCAATTGTACTGAAAACCATAAATATTATGATTGGCCACGTTCGATTTATTATAAAAACATCACTGGAGTCATTCATTACTATGTAAATTTCCTAATTTTTGTTTAGAAAAAGTAAAAAATTAAGTAAGTATATTGAAAACATAAGGTATGAAAATTTTTTTATTAGCCTATGAATTACATCATTGAAAGAAGACAGTTAACAGTTTGGTTTTCATCCTTACCACAAGCCTCGTAAACCTGGATAACTGTGAACTGGTCCTGGTTGGGGAAGATCTCGAAGATTCTCTTGAGAACTTCCTGCTCCTCTGGTGAGTAAGAGCTCAATCTGGCCTGCATTGGGTTCATTTCCTGCTGTGGGAAAGAATCTGGAGCGTCAGCGAAATCACCGCTGGCTGCAAGGTTTTCAATTTCCTGACTTGCAGCGTTAAGTTGTTCCTTGATTTGTGGGATATCGAATTTGTTTGGATCAAGACCATAATCATTAAGGAACTGTTCTGGATTGGCCATGTACTGTTGTGCGCGATCTGGGTGCTGTGCTGCGATTGCCAAGATGTATTGTGGAATTAAAGATGGCTCAGCAGTAAGTTTCTCTCTGAGTTGGTTTATTAAGTTTTGTTGATTTTCTATATCCTGCTCAGATGGGATGTAACCTTGCTCTAAGAAGTTGTAAGCGAGTTCGGCATTTCCTTTGGCTGCCTTGAGAGCTGCAGTAGCTTCTTCCTCCTTGAAACCGAGTTCCTCAAGGGAGTTAACAGCTGTAACGAACTGTGGACTGGAAACAAGAGCGTCCATGTCAAACTGATTTTGCTGAGTTGGTTGAACAAGTTCTGGTAATGGAGCTGCCCTTGGAACTGCTGGAGCAGGGGTCTGTGGAGCTGGAGCTGGTGCTGGGGCAACGGCTGCTGGAGCTGGTTCTGCTGGCTTTGGAGCTGCTGGTTTCTTGACGATATGGACAATGAAGAAATCTGTCTTCTTGATATCAAGGGATGAAATAAGCTTGGAATTATCGAGCCTGTTGGCCTTAAAGATGAATGTAATATCCTTTGCTTCTGGATCGCATTGCTCACGGAAAATTTCTTTGGCTTGGCCAACAGTAGCATCTTCTGGTACATCAATCTTATAGATATTGCCTTTAACACTACGAATAGAGAGCTGACGAGTCATTTCGAAATGTCACCTTTTTGGCTGAGTGAAATGACCGATTTATTAAAAAAATTTTTCCAGCGTTTGAAAATATTCATTTTTAATATATCTTATACAACTAAAATTTTGATCTTGAAAGGTAACAAAATTATGGAAAAATTTTGAATGAAAAATTTTATTGCCATAAAGTTAGAAAATATGCATTTAAATGCAAGTGATGAATGTTTTCGTATTTTAGAAGTTTATTGCAAATAATATGTGGTAAATTATTGAGGATATGTTTATGCTTACCGCCCTCTCATATCTCCTATAATGTATCTAATAGATTTCCATTGGCCCTTCTGAGTGAAAGAGATCATCAAATTTCAAATAATGAAAATTATATACAAGCTTGGCTTCAAATCGCTTAAATGTCATCAAAACACTGACTTCCTTTATGTTCATTGAACTTTACAGCCAAGTATTAAAAATATGAAAGTATTCTCCCCTCATATTTTATATTTTTCGAATTTTGAGTTGGTTTTTCTTCTTCAATTTCATTCATTCTATACATTTTAGTCAAATAAATAGTGCGGATATTGGAATTAATCTTCACAGATCTATGCAGAATCGTTATATTCTTAACGAATTACACTCCAATTTCTATTCTGACCAAATTATCGAATCAAATCGAAATATATTTATGCAATACGAAAACAAAATATGCAGATCGAAATTTGTTTCATGTATAACCAATAATGACGGTGGTGCAATTTTTACTTCTGTAAATCTGTCAATAAACTTCTGTATGTTTATAGGAAATGCTGCCTACCAAGGTTCGTGTATATACTCTCAATCAGATTTTTATATTTTGAGGTCTTCAATGTATAATTGCGAAGCAAAAAAGTCTGGAACAATATTTAGCTCGAATTTTCAACCATCTAAGTTCAATTTTACCCTTACTTGTATTCAAGGTTGTTATTCTACCAGTTATTGTGCCTTGTTTCGCCAAAATTCCGAAAATACAACACTTAATGGAAACAATGCGACCAACTGCTACGCCAAAGAAAGAGTAGGCGGATTTGGTATTGTTGGTAGTCAAGCTATCGTCAAATATTCCGTCATTATTGACTCCAGAGCAAAAGAACACGTAAGTTACTTATTATCTGATTGCAAATCATCATCTTTTTATTATTCAACATTCTTTGCAATTCAACCATTTGCATCTGCCCCTGGGACAAGTGTTTGTATTGGCTTTTATAGTCCAAATTCTCAATGTTCCGTAAATCACATGTTTTACGGGCCATTAGCACCAACGAATCAAGTTGCATTCTCTTGCGGACCTGATTGCAGCATATCTATCGCAAATCTTCATACTACTGTTTCGCCTCAAGAAATTACATCTACAAACTGTTACTTCGTGAATAATGTTGACTTTTTAGTACCAGTCCAGCATGCTTATACCTTCAAAACTCATGCTTTTATCGGATACACCGAAATTGTTAATATATCAATTTATGAAAGAATTTTCACTACCTCTTGCGATGTTATGGCCATATTTACCATGTTTGTCTCGGCAACACTCATGGGTGGTTTGTTCAGCGTCATCCTTTCAAATCAACTGGAAAGTTTAATCAATTCCTTAAAGTATATATTGGCTGAACCCAAAAAATCCAAGAAGAGGAACCCAAACCCAAGAAAAATTAGTTCAAGAAATATTTTATGAAAAATTTACAGTTATTTTTATCTATTGTATAATATTTGTATGTTTATCATGTAAAAATATTGTTTGTATTGAATTTGTGATATTAATTTTTGTTTTTACCAAAAATGATAAAATTAACGCAAAAAAAATAAATAAAGATCGACCATTATTGATATCATTATCATTCATTGACCAAACAAGATTAGTTTAAACATTTGACTATTCTACATTAGTGATTTATATCCAATAATTTGGAATATGTCATCAGTTGAATCTACCGTTATCTAATTTCCAAGAACGAATAGAGTGTTTTAGATTGTCATTTGTTATTCATATATCAAATGCATAGGGAAGAAATTGAAATTCCCAATAGAAGGTGTTCAAATGAAATGAGAATAGAATCAATAATTTATGGAAAAATATTATTGAAAGTCTTGAAATAAAACTTGTAATTACAATTTTAGTCTATAAGTAAGGTTAATTTACTTTATAACTGGATACAATATTGAAATAAATATGTACCAATGGCGAATCTTACACTTTTGTTCTCTATTCAAGCTTTTTCTCGTAGATCAAGTCAGTTTGAGCGTCTGTTCCAACGACAAATGTGTGTGCCCCAACTTTGTTGTATCCCATTGACTTATAAAAAGCTAAGGCGTTATTGTTATGCTCCCAAACACCAAGCCAGGCGTGATCTTTTCTATAAATTTTTGCAATTGTTTCAGCATAGTTCATTAAAATCTTTCCTAAGCCACGTCTCTTGAATTTCTTATCGATGTATAGTCTTTCAATTTCAAGATAGTTAAGTGGCTTGGCTTCGGATTGTGCGTTTTCCATATTTACCTTTAAATATCCAGCAACTTCACCATCAAGCAATCCAAAGTAAAATTGACTGTTCTTGTTATTCATTTCGCGAGTTAATTTTGGAATATTGTAAGCATCATCGAGAAACTTGGCCATATCTTCTTCAGTGTTTGAGTCCATGAATGTGTCCTTAAATGTGGCTCTGCTGATCTTCTGCAATGCTGGGATATCGCTAAGTGTGCAAGGGCGAATCATATTTGGCACTTTTTTTGGTATTTTTTCGATCGAAAAGTAAAATTATTGAAAAGTTTCTCCATACACCATCGTTTTCATGCTGTGAACTTTGCATTGACTAATCCATTTTTGGCCAAGAGCTCGATAAAGTTCGATGGGAAATTTGCCTCTCAAAATTTTGAATGAAACTGTGAACGAATTTTGAAATGACCGAAAGGGATGCAGGGTCCCTTCTTTACGATCAGCTATGCTATGACATATAGAAATTGATCGAAATAATCTTTTGATTATATTAAAAACACGTTTATAGCACTAATTATTGAATAAATATAATTCTCATTTTGTTGTTTTTATATTACAGATTTTGAGATTCGGCTAATTTTATGATAAAGTTTAGATTTAAGTGATTGGTTCTTCAAAACAAACATATTAATGAATGGTCACTAGGAAATATTGAACCAAAGACTCATTGTATGAGACAAAATCCGAATAAAATATAATAAGAATCTTCATTACTAACTATTGCATGATTTACAGCTTCTAAGATTGAAGTTTTGCAAAATGAATTAAAAAATTCAAAGACAAAAAGTAAAAAATGATGAGTAATTATTGCAAAATAGAGATAGATTTTACAGAATATTATTGTATTTTTGAAAATGGTGAATATTATATATTTACGTAAAAAATACAATCGCTTATGGACAATTTAAAACGGAAACCATATCATTCTGAAGGTTCTGATGCGCAATGGCATCATGGATATCAAACCTCTGTATAGAATGATAATTATTGTAAGGTTGGCCGAGGAACGAAACAATTCTGCGCTTATAAGGGTCGTAAACAGTTCCAAATGACTGGAACTTTGGAATCATGAACAATCCCTGTGTAGTAATGACGCCATCGTCGTAAGAAGTCGTATCACCGTCAGGACAGACATGAAGAATCGACCATTTCTTTGCAGGAATGTTGAACAGGTACATCAAGCTGCCAGAAAACTCTGATGTACCGCCAAAGTAGATAAGGTGGTCACCAACTAATACCATGCCACTTCCTAGGGATGTCGAAGGAGGGCTTGGACCATTTGTCTGAACAATCTTGATATCGTTGGTGGCAGTGTCGATAACAAGAATACCACCTGCCTTGGAGCAGCCGTAAGAATAGATTTGATTTCCGTAGACAACCGAAGGCACGTTTGTTCGCCCCTGTATCTCGGTTGGTATGATGGTCCACTGAGTGGTGTTGAGATCGAATATGCATAATTCGTTGACCCATTTACCATCGAAACCTCCAAAAGAATAAACCTTACCATTGACGAGATTAAAGATTGGAGATGATCTTCCTGTTGGTAATGGGCCGTTTATTTGGGCAAGTTTTACTTCGCCTGTACTTAAATTGACATAATACATATCATTTAAGTATTCTGTGCCAGAATATCCACCAAAAACTATTAATATGTGTCTGAATATAACTGCCTTACTTCCAGATCTTGGCTGTAATTGATCGCCTGACAAGATCACGTTTTCCCATTCTAGAGAATCTAAGTTCAGACGCCATAAGTCAAAGAGCATTTCATTGTTCTCGGTTATACCATTTCCAATGTAAACATAACGCGAATCTTCATCGATTGCAGAAAAGTGTCCTGTTCGTGACTGTGGAGTAATTTTCTTTGGAAAATACGTCGACCAAATGCATGGATATGGAGCTTTATAGACATTTAGCGAGAAATTTGATTGAAGTTTGTTAGAATCTGCGTCGATTTCATAATCAAAACCTCTCTCAGGGATGAAGCGTCCGCCTCCAATTGGATTGTAAATGTCTTTAGAGTAAGGACGAATACAGGTTGTCGTGTCTATCTGGCTACTTTCTTCGGCTCCCATTTTTGAAATGATCATATAAACTTCACAATAATTCTTTTCTATGAGCTGACTGAAAATTAAAAAATCAATAATTATGCTGGATTAAAAGAGTAGATTCATAAATGTAAAATTTTTGAAGAAAATTTTGAGAACTTATATGTTATTTCCGCAAGCTATAATAATAGTATAAGAACATTTTTATCAATCAATAAATTCTTATAAAATATGTTCGGTTTTTTGAATGATCTACAACTATTCGATTTTTGAACATTTGTGCTGAGATCAACAAATCACAAAATGGCAATCAAAAAAGTTTTTGAAATATTATTATTGTTTGTTAAATCGGGAAAGTTAGGAGTTTTCTAATAAATTATTTTGAAACAAAACTCAAAAATTGAATGCTTCAAAATTTATTTTTGGAACATTCAATATTATAATTTCTTGAATGTAACATTAATGCACAATTTTATTCTTAACGAACTTAATTTGATTGTTTACTTTATCGGCCACACAGAATAAAAATCCGTTCATTTCCATTTCTTATTTTTCAATTCTTAATATTTCACTATCCGTTTCTTTTTTAACAAAATTTCATTTCGACTTTTTCAAAGCTTTCGTAGATAATAATATTTTAACTACATACCATTTACCATAAAATATTTTAACAATAATTTTGCCATTGGAAAAGTGACATTTCAATTTTACATCCATTTATGTTTGATATAGTATTTTAATGTTCAATATTTCTTTAATGAATCAATGCCTTCTCAATTTTTCTGAAGATTGCTTTCTTCCTTTTTTTTAGATCTGCAATTTCATTTCATGTCCTAAAGCCTTTAACTTCTTAGTACATTTATATCATATCTCAAATCAGTCATTATGCTTTCTCTATATTCTGATATTGATTTTTCAATCAACAATATTCATTATTTCAATCATTTTCGTTAACTTTTTTCATGGTTTTCTAGAGATATGATATTTTCGTTCCAGCTCATCACCAATTGATGCATTATTTCTTTGATCTTGATTTCAAAAGAATTCTGATCAATCTTTATTTGAACGATTCGCATGTTCTATGTTTCGCCAAGATATCTGTCCTATATTTTTTTTTAATAAAATTTCACCTTTCAATTTTTTATTTACATTGATGAGGAAGAAAACCAATCCAAAACCATCAAAGAAATTGAAAAAACTTGTAATCATTGCAGCATGTGTGTTTCCATTGTATTTAGGATATCTGTATTATCAATACACCCTCAGATGCCAAGATCCTCCAAAAATCGAACAAGTTTGCAAAAAAACGGATATCTCACTCAAGCAATTTCATAACAAAATATGCATTACAGCCTCATTACTAACACGTGTACCGCATCCTACAGTTCCTTATCATAAATTATTTTCAATGAATATTTCAAATGATTTCTTTACAGAAATCTATTCGAGTTCTGATTTCGAGACAGTTTCTGGGTCATACTCACAAACTCAATTTTGTGTTTATCACCAATTTCCTCAATATTTTAATCTTTCTCTCTCATGTAACGGAGAAAATATTTACAATGACACCATTCACATTATTGAGGCAGATCTATCAAATGAAGGATCTAGTAATGTTCGTCTCAATGATGGAACAATGCTTGTTTTAAGTGATTTTTGCCTCGATAAAAATGATAACATTCTTTTCGTTTCAAAGCACCATATAGATGCAAAACCTATTTCACTTTCCCATAATAAGAACGTTACACTCAATATCAGACCGAGAAAATCTGTTAAAAATTGGAATCTTGATAAATGGACGACAGTTTTCTCCCATTTTCCGAAAACAGAGTGTTGGATGTCAATAATGAGTTCATTGCTTCCGCTTTGGAAGGGGAGCATTGAAGATAACCACGGAATTAAGCTTCGAAAATTCGGTATGACAAAAGACGAAGCTGAAATTTACATGAGAATGAGCCCGGACTTCAGAAATAGCAATGCAAAGCAATGCTTTGGCTATGGAGTTTTTCCAAAATCACAAAATCTTCTTGATCTGAATTATTTCCATTTAATTTACGATGCAACTCTATCGTATGATTCAAATACTGTCAAAAGATTCAGAGAAAATATCACAAAAACGACAAGGCATCGAGATAGAATTCTCATCGATAAATATTTTGCAAAAGATAATCAAGATATTGTTAACCTGCCTGATTTCGATGTAATAATACTTAATGAAAGTCTTCCACTCTACAAAATTGCAGACCTTATGCATAGTTCTAGTATTTACATATTTTCTCATCTTACAACAGCTGTTTACGGATTATTCCTTGATCCTTCATCAATGATGATCGAAAGGAAAATGATTGGCGCTGGATGTTTAGATTATGGAAAAAGAATTTCAAATTTAGTCGGTTCCAAATACATGGAAGTAGGCAAAACAGATGAAGAGTGCACAATTCCTAGCTTAGAGAAATATATTGTTCAAGAACCAAAGTTTTCAAACAAAAATTGCTTAAAAGAGATTAAAGAAAAGATTGGATTGTAATACAGCCAAAAATTATAAATGTATGAATAAAGTTTATGCGATTATTACTTTATTTTTCTTTTTTTAGAAATATCGAACATTTAATTTGCTGAAATATTAGGAAAAAAAAACTTACATATTGTAATTATAATAGGGCTGTACAAGATTTAAAAAAACATTGCCGGGTTACCGTAGAGGCCTAAAAAAATCGCGCCTCGGCGGCAAGCCGCCTCGGCATTAAGAATGCGCATCTAAATTTTTATATGTCCTTCTTTCTTTTATTTTTCCCTTCCCTTCCTTTTCTTTTCTTTTTTTCCCTCCTCTTGCTCTCATTTACCTTTTTTTTCCTTTTCTCTCATCATTTTTTCAAAATTTAAAATTTTTATCAAAAATCTTGCCTATAAAAGCAGATTATGGAACCTTTTAATGCCTCTTAATCAATATTATACAGCATAAAGCATATTAAATGAAAGTAATTACGTATAAATTTATTTTATTATCTTATTTATTAATTCTTTAGCATGTATTGTTTAATATTAACTTTTCTGTACATTAAATATGATATCTCCAAAGTATGAATGCCTTGTAACGAAACGAAAACTTAATTTTATGTTGAATATTTGTCACAAACATTAGATTATTAAAATATATGTTGGATATCCCTTAGTATGAGACTTCATGACTCTTGTTGTCTAACGTGAGCTTTGGATTGCAAGCTTGCTACAGCACATAAGTATTCTGTGGTTAAAAAAAACCACATGAGCTTTAAAAACTATAAAACCAAAAATAATTGTTATAATTTAAATGAAGAAGTAATTTAAACGATTTTATTTATGATCAAATTTTATATATTTTTTTGGATCAAATCCATTTTAATAGAATTTATATACTATTCATCTATTAGTAAACACTACCGTATATTATTTTTTAAGCTATCTTACTTTTTTGAACTTTTATTCAAATCTTTGGTCGCAAGAAGAATTGCATGATAAATAAAAACATTTAATCAAAGTCAATTTTATTTTTCATATTCAAATGGACTGAGTGTTAACATTTAACATTTTTTGCTAATTGTCGTCAAAAAATTAGGCGTAAAGCAAAAATTGATATTTCATATGGTTTTATGATAGATAAGCATTATATTCCACTCATTATATTCGTAAATTTTGAGGTTTATCCTTCGCTTTTAAGATCATTGAATTGATTTTTATATAAAATAGTTATATATTAGAAAATAATATGAGTTTATATGATATTATTTTTCAGAAGATTTCATTCTATATGCCTATGAAAAGTACTCTCAAAACTAACTTTTCCCTAATTATAATTAAATCTAGAATATTGTATTATGCTTAGTATTATTTCATTTTTCTCATTCAATTTAGAATTTACAAATGTCAAAAAATTGAGAGCTGTCACTTTTGATGAATTTCTGTTTATTACAGCATTGTTATTAATAATGAAAAATAAAGCTTATTTCAATGAAAATTGTTCTGCAAATTTATTTTCACTTTTGACCTCACTTTTTCCGTAATTCAATTTTTTTACTTTTAATATTTTAGATCTTCATAATATCATTTGAAAAATTAACCATATAAAAAATCAAGTTATCAATTCACTTTTTCCGTAATTCAAAATCAAAATATAAATAATATATCTTTTTATCAAATATTATTATTATATTCTATGAAAAATGAGGTCCGGAAATTTTGCGGATTCCCGTAACTCAATTTTACGGAAAAAGTGCAGTAAACTATTCAAAATACGGAAAAATTGGTGTAAACTAATGATTTTACGGTAAAATCACGGAAAGTCCCGGAAGAATATATGTGCCTATATGAAATTATACAAAAATGAATCAAACGCATTTTAAAAGATTGTTCTTGTATTATAAATGCTATTCGCAGATTTATTAGTTGAAGAAAATTACCAAATTTTTGCCGATTTACAAAAAATGATTTACAAAGCATATTTTTATAAGGCTTTAAAAATCTTTAAAATGTGACCGGTGACGGAAATCCATGGTAACCAACCGCGGTTCCCGTTTGGAATGCCATAAATTATAATTGATCTTATGCTAAAGAGAAAGCAAATAAAAGAATTATAAAAAAGAAATACTCTAAAATAAATTAATAAAAATTATCCCGCAGTATTCTCGGACACAAGTATAAACTTACATCCAGCGATACTGCGGATTTATATGTCAACTTGAACAGATGATACCACCGGGTAGCAACATGCCTGGTTGACAAAAAGGTGTAATCGGGCCACGGCAAACCGCTTCTTCACAATTTACTAGCCAATTATAAAAATTAATAAAAGCATGCTTGTCATTGGAAATAAATGCGAAATATTTGATCAATTTCCAAATTCTTTGAATGAATTTTCTCATTGACTTCTGAAAAGACCTTATTTCATGGATAAATGAGTTTAATCAAAAAAGCTGTAGTTTTTTGGTTTTATTTACACACCAAAATCCAATTTGATCTGAAATCGAATCTCCCATATTTCATTTCTTGGAAGGTGATTTTATTGATTCGGACTTTAAAAATCTAATCTAGAAGTAGATTAAAAGGTGAATAAAAGAGTTTAAGAAAATTATATCAAATTCAATTAAAAAAAAAACGCATTAAATATAAAACATAAAATAAAACAACTAATGTATGAACTTTGTTAGAAGTCCATGTTGTTCATGTAGGCTTCATCATCGTTGCTGCCATTGATGATGTCGCTTGGATCGTCTATGTGTGCAATTTGATCTCCTTCGAGCTCTATTTCATAGCTAACTCTTGTGCGTCCTTCAGATATGTTGTCAATATCTGTTTCAGATGAAAGATCGGAGTCTTCGTCTTCCGATGAGTTGGAGTACGCCTTTCTATAAAGGTACAAAGCAATGACTGCAACAATGAAGAGAATGAGCATTCCGCCTGCTGCAAAGCCAATGATCATCGCTGATGTGTATTGTTGCTTAGAAACTGAATCGTAGTAAATTGACTCAATCATGATATACGTCTCAACTTGTGTGATGTAGTAAGTGATCAAATATGTGAGCGTGTATTCATTGACATTAATTGTAGTATTCGTTACTGTTGTTGTAGATAAGTTAACAAAAGTGGTTGTTTTCGTTTCAACATTAGTAATTGCTTCGTATTTACTTAGTGTTCTTGTTGGATCTGGAGTCTTCGCTGGAGTATCGAATGGAGTATTAAAGGGCGTTGAATGAGGTGTACTATGTGGTGTAGAATGCGGTGTACTATGTGGTGTGGAGTGTGGTGTGGAGTGTGGTGTAGAATGTGGAGTAGAATGAGCTGTGGAATGTGGTGTAGAATGTGGAGTAGAATGTGCTGTGGAATGTGGTGTAGAATGTGGAGTAGAATGTGCTGTGGAATGTGGTGTAGAATGGGGAGTAGAATGTGCTGTGGAATGTGGTGTAGAATGGGGAGTAGAATGTGCTGTGGAATGTGGTGTAGAATGGGGAGTAGAATGTGCTGTGGAATGTGGTGTAGAATGGGGAGTAGAATGTGCTGTGGAATGTGGTGTAGAATGGGGAGTAGAATGAGCTGTGGAATGTGGTGTACTGTGTGCAGTGGAAAATGGTGTAACACCTGGAGTGGTAAAAGGTGTACTGGATATTGTTTGTCTAATCCGTTGTGTTGTTAAAGTAAATGTATATGATCTATTTGAAATTGTTTGGCCTGCTGTGTATGAATATTTAAAGCTAGGACTTTTAGTAGTTGGAGAAGGAAGTCTTGTAATTGGTGTTGCCACATAAGTATAATTAGAAGGTGAAGGAACAGAAGCAGTTGTCTCAGTTGCGTTGTTTGAGATTTTAGCTGGTGTTGTTGTTGTAAATTCTTTGAATGTATCATAATTTGTTCTATTTGAATTGGTGCATATTGTACCGTTTGCTTGCAATGCGATTATATATGATGTATTGTGGTTGAAGACAATATTATCCAAAGACTGTGTTGCATTGTTTTGGAAATCATCACCTATTGAATAGTAATTAGTGTTCTCAACTAATATAGCATGGCCAATTCCTTGATATATATTTCCTTTTTCTGTAAAATTAACATAATTGGATGTAAAGCAGCAGCCAAATGTTTGAAATTGGATTGATTGTAAATTGTTAACTGCATCATTCTTGACAGAAATCGCGCCACCACCACGATGACTAAATATTGAAATATAATTAGATTTGTAACCAGAATAATTTGTATAAGTATCATATTGAACAAAATTCTTTTGAAATGTTGAATAAAAAATATGAAAAGATGTGAAATATTGGCATTCTATAGCTCCGCCTGATATATATGCATTATTTTTCTCGAATGTTACTGTCTCCATGTAAATATCAGTTGAATCGAAAATTGAAACTGCTCCTCCACAAGTTTTGGCAGTGTTATTATTAAAAGTGCCATTTTTAATGTATAACTGCCTATATATATTGGGGTTTCCTTCGAAATAGATTGCACCTCCAAATCTCTCTGCTGTGTTATATTCAAATATTGTATGCATTATCAATGCAGCTGAGTCAATTAAGCATATTGCTCCTCCCGTTGCAGCTCTATTGGAAGTAAAGTTGGTAAGATTTTTTGCGTTATTTGTGCCAATGATGTTAACAATAGACTGATATGCAAAAAGCGCACCTCCAGATCCTGGATCAATTCCAACCCCAAACGCATAATTGCCGGAAAAATTAGTTTCATTAAGAATATTAATTTCGCATTGAAAGAATTCAAATTGTCTTTGAGAGGTAGTATATGATCCTTTTATTTCAACATGTCTTGTTTGTTTATCAGTTAAATCAAATATAGTTTCATTTTCTTCTTGTATTTGTTTAAAAGCTGGTAATGATTCAAGCTCTGTGCGTATTTCCGAAGTGAAGAAATCTCCAGTCTTGATTTTTGGTCTACTTTGCCTTGATTTAGATAAAAAAAGGTAAAAAAAGATCATTTGATTTTGTTTAGAAAATTAAGATCTTGTACAAATTAAGGGTGCACACGAGAGGATCATGTAAACTTCAGAATTTAGAACCTTATTTTTAGGCATTATCTTGGCTACCTATTTAGGCTCGAAAAGCAAAAAATATCAAAAAATACAACTTGACTCCATTATGACCCTTTCATGGAGGTAGTTTTTATCCGCTAGTATTTTCCCTTTGAATCTCTTTACAATTCGAAATCAAATTCAAAACTCAGTAGAAGAAAGGAAGAATCGACTTACTACGGTTGTAATACGAATAAATACATATATTTAATTATTTTTATTTACATAATAATTGTTTGAAGCTCATATTCCATCAAATTTTTAAATAAAAACATTAAAATGTTGAAAATGTTCATATATTTTAATAGGGTTTTGGCACTTTATTGAGGAATTACTACATACATAGTCGAACTGAACTTGATATTTTGAAATTTAAATTATTTATCAAAATTAAAATTTAACTTGAAATTTATAATGATTTAGTCATATTTTGCATAATTCTAAGTAGATTTTGTAAAAAATCAAGAAAGAAAAATTTTAACGTGCTTTATTTTTTCTTTTTTATAATAATACATATTATTATATAATTAACATATTCATAATGTTTCACCCTTTCAAAAATATAATCCTCCTCCTCTCAAATAAACGTACATACAGGTGGCCTCTTTTTTCAAAAAATTAAAATTTGAAATTTTGGGCTCAAATATTAGAGATTTTTCAACCTTCAACGATATATGTTGTCTATATCAGACCTCCTTTCTTTTTGATACTTAACATTGTTCCTAAATCTTAGCCGTTAAGGCTGTTCTGAAAATATTTTTTTTTCGAAAAAATTCGAAAAAAATTCTTAAAATTCAAAAATCCCTTAATTCCTGAGGATTTAGGGTTGTTAGATTCCCGACGATAGGTGTCTTGGAAGATTTGCCTGGTGTCATCATAGTGTCTTTAAATCAAAAATTTTATTTTGGAGTTAGTTTTATTGATTTTTCAATAAAAAACATTTCTAAAACAAGAAAATAAAACGATAAAATATTTATATTTTATATAAGGATCTTATATATTTAAAATAAATATCATTTTATTTTTTTCATTGGTGTCTGTCAAACCATAATACACTATTCAAAAATTCAATGTGTCTTGCGGTTTCAAAAGACACCTTCAAATTGAACGATAGCACAGACACTATTGAATTTTACCCATTTTATTTAGTTTTTACCCTTTTTATTTTTAAGAATTAATGACTGAAACAGCCGTTTTGCTATGACCTCAATCACTTTTATTTATTAGTTTAAATATTATTTAATTTTATTATTTGAATAGGCCAACTTATATTTGAGAAGCTCAATTTGAGACCACTTAATACATTGAAATATCATAAATATTGAAATATTAAAAAGTGTATTTCAAAATATTGAAATTATAAAAATTTATAATACTGAAATTGAGACAAATTAATAAATTCAAGGTGTTTTTTTTGAAATAACTCTCAAATATTATTTTTTTGTTTATGTAATGATGAATAAATATGATTGCTTTAATCAATCATAAAAACTAATTTAAGTTTAAAATAATGAAAGGATAATTTGATCGTTTTTTAAAATAGAATTATTTTTGATGATTTGCAAGAATCTTTGAAAAGAATATAATATAGGTTCTATTTTTGTAAAATTTATCCAAATCATGTATTACATAAATTACGATTAAAACGATGAAAGAACCAAAAAGTGTGTTTTGTGTTTTGTTGTTGCGTGTTGGATGCGGGATCCTGTTATTTCCGAAATCGACAAAAAATTTGGAAATTTAATTTCCGAAATCGAAATTATATTAATGTTTTTAATATTCTTATATCAAAAGGATTAAAGTTCATTAAGAGAAAAACAATTCTTCTTCTTCAATCTATTGGCGCATTTATTTCTACACGCCAATAAGGAAGGGAAAATTATAAGACACCATGGTGTCTTCAAAACGCTAATTTTTGATAGTTTTAACAACCCTACTGAGGATTTTGGAAAAAAGTTTTTACATGAACATGTGTATATTATATGAAGTATATTGATAAGGTAAAAATCAAATTTTATTGCATATTCATCGAGAAAATAAACTAACGAATCCCTCAAAATTGAGAGGGTAATCCTCCTCCTCTCAAATAAACGTACATACGGGTGCACCCTTAATGACAGTTTGTCATCGAACAATTTCAGAAAATTCGCAAATCATTCTGGTATAATTGTCTAATAATATATTCGATATTTTATGTCTATGGATGAAATAAAAATTTTAAAACGTATAAATTCGAAGTTGGTCAATATAAGTTATTAGTATCAAAATAGATAATTTTGCTAAAAGGAATTGTGAAGGATTGTAAAATTTTCTGATTTTTTGAATGAAGAGATTTTTGATTGAATGAAGAATCTAAATGCTTAAATGAGCATTTAGCTATAAATTTTCATCTTTCCAATTCATACTTTTTACCTTTCAACTTTTATTTGTGATTCAATCCAATTGAATTCTAACTCTTAAAGCTAAATTTTAAAAAGCTAGTTATTATCAAATCATACAATAATCCAAATTTTTATTTGATCACACAGATAATTTGAACATATGAGTAGCTGTTCGTTTAGTTAGTTCAGGTGGTTCAAGTACGATCCGAAAAAAATTAATATAATTGTCAAATTAGAATTGTGGGAATTCAATTAGCTACTTTCAAAAAATAATCTTTTCTTCGCATATAGTAAGGGTTTCGTTTTGCTAAAATTGTCACTTTTATAGCATATTTGTTTTTGGATGTTTTGCGAAACCAAAAAAAAAACTATGATATACAATGTGTGTGTAAAGAAAATACTTTATTTACTAGTTAAAAAATCATTTGGTATTGATCAAGTTTTTTTTTCTGGATAAGATATTATATGGATAATTGGATAGAAAATACAATTATATAATCTTGTACCTGGTTTAATTAAGCTAATTGTCATCAGAAACTTGTAATTTTTATGAATTTCAGATTTTCTTTTCAT